CTGCAGCCCTGCAGCCATACAGCCCAGAGCACTGGGCGGAGCTCTTTATATAGAGTCAATAACAATGTATTGCCCACACGTGGATAGTGAGCAAGCCGACCAGGACCAAGCGAGAATCCTGGCCACAGGAACCTTCACTTTCTCCACAACTCCCCAAACCAGAAGCCAGCTATCTCTGGAGCCCCAAGGCCAAACATCCTGGAATCTGGACCCAGAACCGGAAGTCCACAGGTCCAGGTTCCTAACACCTGGAGACAGCTGGAATATTGCCAGGGACTGGGATTCTCCTACACTGGAATCTTTCAACCCTAGGGATTCAGGGGTCCAGAGAGCAGAGCTTCAGTAGCCATGGATTGGGATTCCTAGAGTCTGGACATCCCTGATGGCCAGCCTGTAGGCCCAGCATCTGGTGTTTTGGAAAGTCAGGGCAATAGGAGGCAGGAGGGACCGAAAAATGTAAATTAAAAGTGGTCAGGTGCCCAGAGGACTGCAAGAGACCAGGAGGCAAAGCTTGGGACACACTGGTCCAGCTACCCACCATTTTTACAGCGAAGGACACCTTCTGGTGATACCCCATTGTGGGAAGTGCAGGACTTGAGATACAGGGCTGTTGTCTTTTCCTGGCACCACAGAGACCTAGTATAAAAACCCCTGTGATGCACACGTTTGCTGCCTGAGGCCCTCTTGCCCCACTCCTCTATGCCATCCACTTCAGGGCACTGGCATCAAGATCTCTGGCTTCAGCTAATGAAGAAGGTATTTAGGTGGCTTCATCAAACCTAGTAACAGATCAACCAATGGCTTTTTCTGATCAGCAGTTTTGTGTTTTCATTACAAAAAATAAATGGAATAAATATAATAGCAAAAAGGGGACCTCAAACATTACCTAAAATCCTAACATTGGTGACCATCTGGTGCCTGCCTGTGGATAAAGTGAAGGTTCCTATGGCCAGGATTCTCACCTGGCCATGGTCAGCTAGCTCACTACACACGTGTGGGGAATATGTTATTGTTGCCTCTATAAAAAGAGCTCCGCCCAGTGCTCTGGGCATTACGGTGGCACGGCTGCTGCATGGCTGCAGGGTTGCAAGGCTGCAGGAGAGCAGAGACTGGAGTGGTGGCACTGCCGAAGACAGAGACTGAGATGGCTTGCAGGGGGTAGAGGGCCCCAGAAGCAGAGATTGGCTTGCTGCATGCAGACTTGCTCTGAGTGGATGGGAGTCTAGTGATTGACCTGCCACTGTGGGAATAAAGTTGGATATAAATGCTTTCACCCCACAAATGTTTTGTTGTCATTTTTCAGTCTCCCTGAATCCACAGTGAATTTGTCCGGTGCTGAAACCCACTGGGAAGACAACTGGTGTAGTCAGCAGGATTCATTGTTGACAGAGGAACAAAACAGGCTGCCCTCCTGGGAGGAGTGTTTCCGCGGGCTGCACCTATGACAGGGAAACCCTCGAGTGTCCCCCAGTGGACATGTGGTCTGATGTGGCTGGCCTCCTAGAGCACCAGGCCCCACCCCAAGACTGGGAAGGGCTGGAGGCAACATCCGAGGCAGTCAAGTTGGCCCTCAGCAAAATAGGGAGTTCCTTAGAGAAACAGGGCCTGTGAGGTGGCGGGAATGGTGGGGAGTTTTGTTCTCACAGCACCGAGAAAGGCCATCAGGGAGGAAGATGTCCTCCTGCAGGAAGCACGAGAAGAGGCAGCATGAGAACACGGGTTGTGAGGTGCCACTGAGGAGGTAAAAAATGTGTTTGTGATTGAAATGGCGTCACTACACGGTGCTGTGGAAATGGTAAAGGATGTTGTGGGCCATGGGGAAGCAGCGCGAGAAGCAGGCCGAGAGTGCAGGCTGCCAGGTGCCGTGGGCTGCCAGGTGCCGTGGGGCAGGTGAAGGATGTAGGGGAGCCATCAGCCCCAGAAATGAAGGAGAGGAGGTTTGATGAACAGGCGGGGGTGGAGGCCCTGCCAGTGCTGGAGGCATTAGCCTCTCCTCAGTTGAAACCCCACCCGGTTGAAAATTGGTGGAAAGCCCAAAAGAAAATGAAGACTCGGCAATGGCAGGTTCCTCCAGGAGGGGTGCAGCCCCTCCCCAGGCAGTGGAGCACTCTGTGCTCTGCTCCTATCCTCAGGCTCAAGCAATGAAAGCACAGAAGGAAATACGGTCTGCTCCTCGAAGGGCCCCGTGAAGGTCACGAGGACCCAGATGTGGGTTGATTTGAGAAAGGCAGGAGCAGACAGAGACTGGATGGAAAGTCAGAGTCTTACTGAAGCCATGGCAACATCTGAGACTGAAGCAGCAGTTCCAGCCACTGAGGACGAGGAAGCAGAGACAAAAGACAAAGCAACAAGATCGGCCTGTGTGTCTGCAAGACTTTCTGCTGGAGAGGCTGGAGAAGGTGGGTATTGTAAGGCCCACCCATGGTCCTTGTGGTTGACTCATCTGAGTAGGACTGGTTTGAATACAGCCAGGATGACCACTTGGTGGCAATGGGTCTCCTTAGGCTTGAGGGTTATTATAATTTGTTATTTTTGTTATTTGTACACTGTCATAGCCTCTGTTGTTATTATGGAATTTGGTTACAATGTTCCAGCTTCCTCACACAGGAAACACTGCAGAAGATTGAGGGCACCTAAACTGAGAGACGAGAATCCTGGAGGGGTGGAATGTGGATAAAGTGAAGGTTCTTATGGCAGGATTCTCACCTGGCCCTGGCTGGCTAGCGCACTACACACGTGGGCAATACATTGCTATTGACTCTATAGAAAGAGCTCCACCCAGTGCTCCGGGCAACACGGTAGCACGGCTGCTGGAGAGCAGAGCAGAGGCTAGAGCGGTGGCAGCACGAAGGATAGAGACTGAGGCGGCTGCAGGGGTAGAGGGGCCCAGATACAGAGACCGGCCTGCTGCGTGCTGACTCGCTCTGAGTGGATAGAATTCTAGTGACTGACCTGCCGCCATGGAAATAAAGTTGGGTATAAATCCTTTCACCCCAAGAACGTTCCATTGTCATGTTTTTGTCTCATTGAATCCATAGTGAACTTGTCAGGCGCTGAAACCCATTGCTGGCCTTCCAGTATGCTCACCTAAGGTGTCCCTAGAAGTTTTGACTGGTGGACTGGTCTTCTAAGATAACCTTTGATCCTCACATTCACTCCTTTTTATCCTGCTGCAGAGTGTAAGAGTACAGCCTCAGGCTGACGCAGGGGCCTAGGAACTATTATTAAAGTCCCCACGAATGCCAGGCATTGTACTCTCTTCACTCTGAGACTGCTGGGTGGTGGTGATTTTTGGACTTAGTGGTTTTCACTCTATGTGGATGAGAAGAGGCAGCCCGCAGGAACCTGCAGCCTCATGTTTGTCCTGACGTGAACGTGTACAGACTTAACAAACATTGAATGCCTATTATGCACAGGACAGTGCTGAGCCTAACAGAAGTCACTCTGAACAAGCTCCGTGTGGTCTCTGATCTCAGAGAACTTACAGGAAAGAGGAAGAGAACACCCTAGTAAACAATTCTCAAAAGCCCTGTAATGTAGGAAGTAAAAATTTCTGACTTCCACTTGGATGTAGAAAACTGGTAGGCATTGCTGCCAACCTTAGCAAGAAGAAAAGGCTGCATAATTGACAAAAACGTAACTTTCTCGAATCCCTCAGAGAGCTGATGCCACGGGCAACTAACAAGACAGAAAGCTAGGGAAAAAAAGATGGACAGGAGCACTTGCTCGCCTGTAACTTTGGAGGAAGACAGTGCCGTCAGACACACCGGGGGCTGGTAGAGGATAGAGAGAGAGGTGAGGGTAGAGAATCTGGAAGGCTCAGACACAAGGGGCGTCCTCATGCACCTGTGGGCTCTTCTCAGACCCCCACCAGCCACTCATGAGGAAGACTGGGGACAGAACCAGAGAAGGAAGCAAGCCTCCCTCCTCTGCCAAATCTGCAAGTGCACCAAATACACATTCTATCTTCCAAGTTACAACAAAGGACATTTTTGCCAATGGTTCCCCTAGGACACAATCATATAGCCTATTTCTGATCTCTAGTAACAATTTCCTCACCATGTGTACAGCCACTTTCTCCACCCCCTTTCAGATGCTTTATTACTGCCAAGTTCCAAAGTCAATGACACATCTTAAGTTTTTGTTACGGCAGCACCCCATCTCTTATGTGCTCACAATTCTATGAGCCAGCAATTTCAGCTGAACTCAGCTGGGAAGTTCTTCTGATTCAGTCACTCATGCAGCTTCAGTCACTTAGTGGCTTGCTTGGGATGAGATGATCTAAGATGGACTCACCCACATGCCCAGCACTTGGTCCTGACGATCCCTCTGTTCATGAGCTCTCTCATTTTAGGCTGGTCCAGGCTTCTTCGCACTTGGCTCTCGAGAATCTAACCACAGCTACAGGAGGGCCTGTAGTTTTTCAATCCTCTGCTACTGTCATGTTTGACAATGATCCACTTGGCAACAAAAGTCATGTGATCATGCTTATCTTCAAGGGGAAGAGAAATTAACTCACCTCTTGATAGGAATAGCAAAGTCACATTGAAAAGAGCTACACATAGAAAAATGAGAGAAATTATTGTGGCAACAACCTACCACATTATTCACCAAAAAAAGCAAATTAAGACACGAGAAACCTCTTACCAACTAATTTAGCAAATGTTAAATAGACTGACAAAAGAGCTACACATAGAAAAATGAGAGAAATTATTGTGGCAACAACCTACCACATTATTCACCAAAAAAGGCAAATTAAGACACGAGAAACCTCTTACCAACTAATTTAGCAAATGTTAAATAGACTGACATTGGCATGTATTGTCAGGATGTGAAGTAAATGAAACTTACACTCATTGATGATGGAAATATAAACTGTCTCAACCATTGTAGAAAACTGGCAATATCTGTGAAAGCTAAAAATATGCCTACCCAGTGACCCAGCAATTCGAAGGAGGATTTGAGGTTTATACAAAAGAAATTCACAGTAACTTGCTCAAAAACATTCACCATGGCTTTATTTATAATAGCAAAACCTGGGAAGCACCCAAATTTCCCTGATCAGAATGGAATTTTTAAATTATGGTGTATCCAAAAAATGGACTATTACACAGCAATTTTTTGAAAGAAGATACTGCGACAAAGATAAATCTCATGATACCTTACCGAGAAAAACAGATACAAGAGAACATACTGTGTGGTTCCATTTCTGTGATGAAGACAAATAAATTTATGGTGATAGAAGTCAGAATACTGGTTACCTCTGGGGGTGGGACTTCCTGACTGAGGTAGGGCCCAAGGAAACCTTCTGGGGAGATAAAATATTTTATACCTTGACATGGGTGGTATAGACATACCTAAAATTCACCAAGGTGTGCACTAAGACTGACAAACTTTCACGTAAGTTATACTTCCCATAAAAGAATTGAAAACACAAAAACAGGATCCTGTGGCAACAAATAAAATGGGGAACAGACAGAACAAGTGAACAAAAACAGAAACAGACTCAAACCCAGAGCGGACTGGCAGTTGCCATAGGGCAAGGAGGGGGGGGCATGGGTGAAATAGGTGAAGAGGATAAAGAGGAGCGAACTTCCAAATACAAAATAAGCAAGTCATGGGGATGAAAAGTACAGCATAGGGTATGAAGGCAGTAATATCGTAATATCTTTGTATGGTGACAGATGGTAACTACACTTATGGTGAGCATTTACCAATGTATATGATCATCAAATCACTAGACTGTACATCTAAAACCAATATAAGGTTGTATATCAACTATATTTCTTTTTTTTTAATTTTTAATGGAGAATAGGTCCTGGGTTGAAACACAGTGGAGGGAGCATGTATCTTAGAACCAGATTCTGTCACTTACCATCTGCATGAACTTGGTTAAGTCACCTCAACAGTCTCCTTATCTGTTAATTGGGAATAATAATAGCATCTACCTCAAAGGGTCACAGTGGGAACTAAATAACTTAAAAGATGCAACCTTTACAGTAGTAGCTACTATCTAATAGAGAAGGCTTTAAATAATTATTTGCTGTTATGATGATGAATGGCTGAATAGTCATCACTAGGAAAAAAGATGGCCAAAGAATAAAAAGAACAATTTTCTAGAAACATTTAAAATGTCAAATCTTTTCACTTAATTCCATTGTTTCAAAATATAAAAATTAAAAAATTGTTACAAGATTTATTCAGCAATCCACAATCATGTGGGAGAGTTTAATGTAGCTAGCTCCCTCAGTATGTCGCAGATCAAAGCATGCTGTGGGCTGAATATGTGTCCCCCGGAATTCACATGCTGAAGCCTTACCCCCAAAGTGATGGTATCAGGAAGTGGGGCCTTTGGGAAGTGATGAGGTCGTGGGAGTGGGGCCCTGATGAAAGGGATTGGTGCCCTCATAAAAGAAACCCCGAGAGCTCTCCTGCTCCCTTTCTGCCACGTGAGGACACAGCAAGAGAGGCATCTATGAACCATGAAGGGGTCTCACCTGACATCAAATCTGCCAGCACCTAGATCTGGACTTCCAGCCTCCAGAACTGTGAGAATTAAATTTCTGTGGTTTATAAGCCACCCAGTCTTTGGTATTTCTGTTATAGCAGCCTGAACTAAGACAGAGATCAATACTTACGGATGTGTATAAGATTTTCAAACATAAATACAACTTGATCTAGTGGACATACATAAAATACAATGCATTGATTTCAACCACCCATGAAGCACTTATAAAAACTGACCATATATTAAGTAGATCATCCCTGCCTTCTCCTTCTCCCAACAAAAAAGGCCATGTGCTAGGAAGAAGTACATCTTTTTTATGTAACAGGATGTGCAGAAATACACTCCAGGGCTGGTACAACGACACAAAGATACCAACTGGGGAAGCAGGATGGTTGTAATTTCTGGCCACACTCTCTTTAGCCTGTAGTTTTTACCCTCTTGGTCACAGGATGGCTGCTCAACCACCGACATCTTTGACAAAAGGCAATCTGAATGCAGGGAGCTGGATGAATGTTCTTTTGTATCATCTTTTTCAGGATTCACACCACCCAATGAATTCTACTTATAATGACCAGGATTGGGGAACATGGCCTCCCTGGCTGCAAGGACTGGGAGATGGAGGTTTTTAATAGTACACATTACCAATCTGAACAAAAAACCTAGGCTCTTTTGTAAGGAAGAAAGGGTATTTTGATAGTCAACTAGCAGGATATGACATACTGGACCTAAAAAAAAATCTCAACAAATACCTAAGATTTATTAACATAAAGACCACAAACTCTGCTCACAAGGTAATTAAATTAGAAACCAACAACAGGCAATGGGAAAAAAAAACTTAGACTTGCAGGAACCTTCCAGAATGATAGAAATGAGGTTTTGCTTACATAGGCATAAGTACATATCAGTCAAACTCACCCAACTGTACACCTAAGATTTATGCATTTCACTATAAGTAATTATACCTCCATAAAAATATATCCACATAGTTTTTTTTAAAAATCTAGTTACAAATAACCCATGGGTCAAAGAATAAGTATAATGAAAACTCATACAACCAAAATGAAACATTATACATTAAAACATGATGTAGCTAAAGGAGTACTACAAGAGATGATTATAGGCCCGCATGTTTTATTTTTACAACTTGGAAGTTAATCAGCAAGGGGCCCACTGTATTGATGAGATAATGATAAAGGAAGGGCACCATTCCTAACATTTTCTCTCCTGGCATGAATCCTTTTATGCACAGTAAGTGAATAACTGTGCCTGAAGGCTTTCTCACACTCATTACATTCATAGGGCTTCCCCGCAGTGTGGGTTCGCATATGTACGGTGAGGTGTGAAGACTGACCAAAGGCTCGCCCACATTCCTGACACACGTAGGGCTTCTTGCCGGTATGAATCCTCGAGTGTTTTCTGAGGGAGGAAGGCTCACTAAAGGCCCGCCCACATTCCTGGCACGCATAGGGCTTCTCTCCAGTGTGAGTTCGCATGTGACTCTTGAGGGTTGAGAGACGGCTCAGGACCTGCCCACAGGTAGCGCATTCATAAAGCTTCTCCCCTGTGTGTATCCTCTTGTGTACCTTCAGGTGGGTGCTCGTCCGGAAGGGCTTCCCACACTGGTTACACTCGTAGGGTTTCTCTCTGGTGTGAGTCCTCAGGTGTGTCTTCAGCGACGAGTGTTCCCTGAAGGCTTTCCCACACTGACTGCAGTCAAAGGGCTTCTCTCCTGTGTGAGTCCTCACATGACTCCTCAGAGAGGATGACTGATTAAAAGCTTTCCCACAATCCTCACACTGGTAGGGCTTCTCACCCGTGTGGTTCCTCTGGTGCAAAATCAGGTTAAAGTTCCTCGTGAAGGTTTTCCCACACTGAGTACATTCAAAAGGTTTCTCTCCAGTGTGAGTTCGCATGTGCCGCCGCAGATTTGAGGAATACTTGAAGGCTTGCTGGCATTCTTGACATTCAAAGCATTTCTCTGCAGTGTGAGTCTTCTCATGCCTGATGAGGTTTGAGCTGTACTGGAAGGACTTTTCACATTTGTTACACATGTAGGTTTTATCACTGCTATGGATTTTCTTGGGCATGATTAGGTGAGAGGTCTGGAAGAAGAGTTTTCTATTCTCTTCGTATCCATAGGGGTCTTCACCAGCATGAATTCTCTGATAGTGAAAAAGTGGCTTGGTGTTGTCAAAGGGTTTCCTGAGTTCACTATATTTGTAGAGTTTTTCCCCAGTCTGAGGTTTCTCCTGTTAAGTGAGGAAAATTTGAAGACCAAAGGCTTTATTATATTCATAGTCTCCCCAAGTGAGCAGTGTGTAGGAAAAAGGCATTTTTACAGCCGAAGCTTTAGTGGGTCTATACCATTTCCACCCAGAGTTTTGTCAAGTAGACACCCTGCCACAAAGAGCTCTTTCTTATTACTTTCACAGGGCTTCTTATATTCAGGCATTTTCTGAAGTTTTTAAGGCTAAATTAAGTTTCAAACACTTGGTATCTGCTTACATTTATGAAAATGGTTGCTTGTGGGGACTCAAAAGACATATGTCTTGAGTTTCTTGAGTTTCTCCCAATTCATGACATTCACAGTCTCTCTCCCAAGAAACTGCTTTTTCCTGAGTGAGCACCATTTACTTTGAATCTCACTCTAGGCTTTATGCTGTCTTTCTAAACTATACCAACCCAAGACTTTTCATACACAGGATCAAGAATAATCCTGGTGTTACCTTACCCTTTTCATGCCAATGGATGGACTCTCCACAAAAATACCCTGGTTAGGAACTGGCTCCTGGGGTTGAAGTTGAGGTTCTGAAATGAATTAGGAGGGAATAATTTCAGATCATAGAGAAGGAAACTGGGGTCAAATTGACCAAAATCATAAGCAAGGCACATGTGGATTTCTTCTTTAAAAACTGGGCCTAAATATGAGAAGAAATTGTGAACAGGAGGAGTGTGCCAAAGAGTAAAGGAAAATTTTAAAGCATTCAGCTGTGTGAGGAACTTCATAATCACAGGATCAAGGGATGGAAATAGCAGATCATTTACTGGGAAAGGATTCTATGCAGGTTGGGACTGAGGTTGAGAGACCATTATTAGCAAGAATGTACAGTGGGGAGGAACTGGATAAAACATATACATAGAAAAGCTAAATGTGAAGAGAACAGATCGCGCTACGAAACCAAAGTAGTAGAGATAAAAAGGGAGGGAAAAAGGAAAGAAGGTGGAATTCACTAAAGCTCAAGCTTCTCCATCAGCGGCATTGAACATGTCTCCCTTACCATCAATTTCCAGATATAATACTCCTCTTACCGATCAGAGCTAGTGTTCCCCCCATCTGCCTGGTGCTCACCTGGATGGGCTCCTGGAAAGGTTCCTCCCGCGGCAGTCCACAGCTCTTTCCTTTGCTCCAAATGGAAAAACACACTGGGTTTGCCTAGTTGATCGCCTGTTTGTGGGAACAGATGCAGAGTGTGAGCACTATGCTTGCCATGAAGCCGGAGGCCATCTTCAGGGGTGCTGGGGACGGGAGCAACAGACTCAGAGGGCCTGAGTTCTGCTGGACGTGGTACTCTTTCTCTCAGGAACCAGAGTGCCGGCTTCCTCCCTGGGCCTCAAGAGACACTGGGAATCTCTGGCCCCCAAAACCCAAGGCCTGACTCAGGGACGCACTTGGGAAGCCCAGAAGCAGCCGAGATCATTTCCATGGGGAAGCCACTAGACTATAAATGGGGTGAGAGCAGGATTTGTCTGTCTTTTCACCTTTTAGTTTCCCAAACCAGCACAGTTCTAGGAGCCCACAGTTGTCAAGAGAGTAGGTGGATGAAGTGACAAGGCCGGCCTTACCCACAGAGACCAGGTTCCTGTAGTTGTCTAGCATCACATCTTGATACAGTCTCCTCTGGGCAGAGTCTAGAAACATCCATTCTTCTTGGGTAAACAACACAACCACATCTGCAAAGGTGACTGGCTCCTAAAACAAACGCCCATCCCAGCTCAGCCAGGGGCTGCCCCTGCCAATACTCAAGAGGATGGTGGGGGGCTGGCAGACCTGGGGATGGGAGACCCCTTGCAGAGGATTTTTAGATGGGGTTCTGAGGCCTCCCAGAATCTGCCCTTCAGCTCAAGCCTCAGAACTATAACTCTTCCCTATCTACCTTCCCCTCTAAGTGACAGCATCCTGAGGTATGGCATCAAAGGACATGGCTTGGTGACAGGGCTTAGCTACTGACAGCTAGTCAGCAGACCCCAGCAGCTTTACTCCCCTCCAGCCCCTCCAGCTCAGGGTCTGGCAGACCTGAGCATGGTGCAGCAAGACAGAAATGTTCGGCAATGATAACTGTTTGCTCTGGGAGACAGTGAAGACAATGAGACAAGGACAGCCCATATCTCACTGTCTTCCCTTCTGACACACAACAGAACAAGACACTCAACAGCCTGAGGAAGGGCTGAATGAGGGGGTGCCACTGTTGCGGGGCTGTTCCCCAGCACTACAAGAAGCCCCATGCCTGGAGACCAGCCCTGTGGGGTCAAGAAGCTCCAAGCCAGGGGAAGAGGACAAGGGGACTAAGCAAGAACCAAAAGCAATAGGGACTTCTTACTTACCTGCAGGCAGGTGGGCAGCACCCCAGGAACCATGGCTACTGCCTCTGTGCTCTCCTCCTGGAGCCAGGTGGAGTTCCAAGCAGGCAGAGCTGCAGAAGAGGGGTGCCATAAGGCCTAGGACCCAGGGCTGCCCACTCTAATTGTGGGTGACCACATGTGCACATACTCAGGGGGACACAGGCATTGACACAGAGACATGCACACACTTGCATGCACACACTCCTGCTTAGGCAAACACAAGTACACATGCGTGCATAGACTCACACACACACACAGACACAAAAAACATGCACATGCACACACAGACAAGCACACATGCACACACAGACAAGGACACAAACAAAAATACACAGACACAGGGACAAAAGTACAGCACAGAGAATGTAGAGAATACAGTCAATTCTGTAACATCTTTCTATGTTGAGAGTAACTACAGTAGGGATGAGGATTTAATAATGTATATAACTGTCAATCACTAGGTTGTATACTTGAAACCAATATTGTGTATCAACTATACTTCAGTAAAAGGATGTCAAGGCTAAATTAAGTTTCAAACACTTGGTATCTGCTTACATTTATGAAAATGGTTGCTTGTGGGGACTCAAAAGACATATGTCTTGAGTTTCTTGAGTTTCTCCCAATTCATGACATTCACAGTCTCTCTCCCAAGAAACTGCTTTTTCCTGAGTGAGCACCACTTACTTTGAATCTCACTCTAGGCTTTATGCTGTCTTTCTAAACTATACCAACCCAAGACTTTTCATACACAGGATCAAGAATAATCCTGGTGTTACCTTACCCTTTTCATGCCAATGGATGGACTCTCCACAAAAATACCCTGGTTAGGAACTGGCTCCTGGGGTTGAAGTTGAGGTTCTGAAATGAATTAGGAGGGAATAATTTCAGATCATAGAGAAGGAAACTGGGGTCAAATTGACCAAAATCATAAGCAAGGCACATGTGGATTTCTTCTTTAAAAACTGGGCCTAAATATGAGAAGAAATTGTGAACAGGAGGAGTGTGCCAAAGAGTAAAGGAAAATTTTAAAGCATTCAGCTGTGTGAGGAACTTCATAATCACAGGATCAAGGGATGGAAATAGCAGATCATTTACTGGGAAAGGATTCTATGCAGGTTGGGACTGAGGTTGAGAGACCATTATTAGCAAGAATGTACAGTGGGGAGGAACTGGATAAAACATATACATAGAAAAGCTAAATGTGAAGAGAACAGATCGCGCTACGAAACCAAAGTAGTAGAGATAAAAAGGGAGGGAAAAAGGAAAGAAGGTGGAATTCACTAAAGCTCAAGCTTCTCCATCAGCGGCATTGAACATGTCTCCCTTACCATCAATTTCCAGATATAATACTCCTCTTACCGATCAGAGCTAGTGTTCCCCCCATCTGCCTGGTGCTCACCTGGATGGGCTCCTGGAAAGGTTCCTCCCGCAGCAGTCCACAGCTCTTTCCTTTGCTCCAAATGGAAAAACACACTGGGTTTGCCTAGTTGATCGCCTGTTTGTGGGAACAGATGCAGGGTGTGAGCACTATGCTTGCCATGAAGCCGGAGGCCATCTTCAGGGGTGCTGGGGACGGGAGCAACAGACTCAGAGGGCCTGAGTTCTGCTGGACGTGGTACTCTTTCTCTCAGGAACCAGAGTGCCGGCTTCCTCCCTGGGCCTCAAGAGACACTGGGAATCTCTGGCCCCCAAAACCCAAGGCCTGACTCAGGGATGCACTTGGGAAGCCCAGAAGCAGCCGAGATCATTTCCATGGGGAAGCCACTAGACTATAAATGGGGTGAGAGCAGGATTTGTCTGTCTTTTCACCTTTTAGTTTCCCAAACCAGCACAGTTCTAGGAGCCCACAGTTGTCAAGAGAGTAGGTGGATGAAGTGACAAGGCCGGCCTTACCCACAGAGACCAGGTTCCTGTAGTTGTCTAGCATCACATCTTGATACAGTCTCCTCTGGGCAGAGTCTAGAAACATCCATTCTTCTTGGGTAAACAACACAACCACATCTGCAAAGGTGACTGGCTCCTAAAACAAACGCCCATCCCAGCTCAGCCAGGGGCTGCCCCTGCCAATACTCAAGAGGATGGTGGGGGGCTGGCAGACCTGGGGATGGGAGACCCCTTGCAGAGGATTTTTAGATGGGGTTCTGAGGCCTCCCAGAATCTGCCCTTCAGCTCAAGCCTCAGAACTATAACTCTTCCCTATCTACCTTCCCCTCTAAGTGACAGCATCCTGAGGTATGGCATCAAAGGACATGGCTTGGTGACAGGGCTTAGCTACTGACAGCTAGTCAGCAGACCCCAGCAGCTTTACTCCCCTCCAGCCCCTCCAGCTCAGGGTCTGGCAGACCTGAGCATGGTGCAGCAAGACAGAAATGTTCGGCAATGATAACTGTTTGCTCTGGGAGACAGTGAAGACAATGAGACAAGGACAGCCCATATCTCACTGTCTTCCCTTCTGACACACAACAGAACAAGACACTCAACAGCCTGAGGAAGGGCTGAATGAGGGGGTGCCACTGTTGCGGGGCTGTTCCCCAGCACTACAAGAAGCCCCATGCCTGGAGACCAGCCCTGTGGGGTCAAGAAGCTCCAAGCCAGGGGAAGAGGACAAGGGGACTAAGCAAGAACCAAAAGCAATAGGGACTTCTTACTTACCTGCAGGCAGGTGGGCAGCACCCCAGGAACCATGGCTCCTGCCTCTGTGCTCTCCTCCTGGAGCCAGGTGGAGTTCCAAGCAGGCAGAGCTGCAGAAGAGGGGTGCCATAAGGCCTAGGACCCAGGGCTGCCCACTCTGATTGTGGGTGACCACATGTGCACATACTCAGGGGGACACAGGCATTGACACAGAGACATGCACACACATGCATGCACACACTCCTGCTTAGGCAAACACAAGTACACATGCGTGCATAGACTCACACACACACACAGACACAAAAAACATGCACATGCACACACAGACAAGCACACATGCACACACAGACAAGGACACAAACAAAAATACACAGACACAGGGACAAAAGTACAGCACAGAGAATGTAGAGAATATAGTCAATTCTGTAACATCTTTCTATGTTGAGAGTAACTACAGTAGGGATGAGGATTTAATAATGTATATAACTGTCAATCACTAGGTTGTATACTTGAAACCAATATTGTGTATCAACTATACTTCAGTAAAAGGATGTCAAAAAAAGAGAAATACAGAGACAAACATACACACACATTTTCTCCATTCCGAATCTGTGGAGCCACCATCTCAATTCACCAACAGACTCTGAAATTTCCATGTGCCCCCCACCACCCACTACTACCCCTTGACTCAGCTCGTCAGCTTTTCCTCCCAGGCTGCTCAGCCCCTTCCTCAGCAGGACCAGTAGCACCCCAGGACTTACCACAAGTTGGGCACAGAGAAAACTGCCCCCAACCCATGAGGCTGCCTGCAAGAAGGAAACATCCTTTGCTGCCTTGCCTTCAAACCCACAGCACCCCTTCATCCATTCCAGGTGAGCAAGTGACTGCGGACAATCCCTTGTCTCCCTGAACCCTCACCTCCCTTGACAGGACCTTTTCCCTCAGTCATTAAACCTGAACCCAAAAAGAAATACACATAATAAAAATAAAAATAAAATAAAATGCATGATTAAAAAAAAAACTGAACCACATCCAATCCCAGGCCCTCTGTATTCATCTGGGCCTGCTGTAACAAAGTACCACAAACTGAGGGTCTGAATAGATAATGGATTCTCTCTCAGTTCTGGAGGCCTGAAGTCCAAGGTCAAGGTGTCAGCAAGGCTATGCTCCCTCTGAGACTCTGGGTGGAATCCCTCCTGCCCCTTCCTGGTGGTGACTGTCCGGAATCCTGGAGTTCTTCTGCTTGCAGCAGTGTCCTGCCAACTTTGCCTCCGTCATCACATGGCTGTCTGCTTCCATGTGTCCCAGCCTTCACATGTCACCAGTCCTACCGGAGGAGGGCCTACCCCTTGTGACCTCATCGTGATGGCAGCTGCAAAGGCTTTCTTTCAAAGTAAGGTCACATTCACAGGTACCGGCATTAGGAATTCAACATTAACTTTTTTGGGTGCCACAATTCAAACCATAATCCTCTGCTTTGCTACTCAATTTGTTCCCCACCACAGGCAATCAATCCTCCTAGCCTCCCACCCACTTCCTATCACCATCACTCCAAGGGCAGGCACCTCGCTAGCCTCACAGTGACCTCCATCCACGGTGGGAATCCAGTTGAGGTGTTTGGTCATCCAGGCCCTCCACGGTGAAGCCTAGGCTTCAGTGAGCATGCCCCTACCCCCTCGGCCTCCTGTACAAGGCCCTTGTCCATCACACGCTAGCTCTGGGCATCAATTTCCAGCTGTACCTGACAGGACCCAAACCCCCTGGCTGACTCAGCAGAACTCCAGACCCATATACCCAAACCCTCAGCCCCAGTGTCCCCACCCGTCTGCTTGGGGGCCATGAAGAAAGTATCCAAAAGGAGCTTGAAGCAGAGCTGCTCTCCCAGCAGGCAAAGAATGGAGCTTCCAGCCACAGAGGATCCTTCTCAGGCCTTGAACTTGCCTGGGACCCATGACCCCTCTATTTTCTGTCTCTTTGGCAGAGGGAATGTCTGTCCTGTACCTGGCCCGCCATTGTATTAGGGAAGCAGAGAACTTGTTTTCTGGTTTCACAGGTTCACACACGGGGAGGAATTTTGTTCCTGGGATGGACCACACACACCCCATGTCTCACCCACACCTAATTTAGACAATTTATGAGTTTAAGGACTTTTTGAGTTGATAAGACTTAGATGATTTGGGGACTTTGAGCTGATACTGGAAAGGTTAAACTTTGGGGGTGTCAGTATTATGGGAAGGACAAGAATGGCAGGGGGCAGAGGGTAGACTTTTATAGGTTAAATGGTGTCCCCCAAAATCACGAAGTCTAGCCCTGGTACCTCAGAATGTGACCTTCCTCAGAAATAAGAGTTTTTGCAGCTATAACTAAAAGAAGTTACAGTGGAGTAGCCCAGTATGACTGGTGTCCTAGGAAGAGGAGGGACTCAGAAACAGGGACAATGCAGCCAGAGACTGGAATGACGCGGCACAAGCCAAGGACCACCAAGGACTGCCAGCAGCCGCCACCGGAACCCAGGAGGGGAGCCAGTGAGGATCCTCCCCTACCCATGTCACAGGAGGCGTGGCCCTGCCAACCCCTGCAGAAGGTCAGACTTGTGGCCTCAGAACTGAACACATTTCGATAGTTGCATGCCCCCAACCTCCCTCCGCCAAAAAAAGTCTATGCTCATGGCCTTCTCAAAGCCTGTTACAGTGTCTCTATCTCGGAAGTGAGATCCCTGCCTCGGATGAGAAATCCCACCCCTCCCGACACTCTGAAGACCCCCAATAATTAGTTTTTTTAATACTGACGCCTCTACATGGACACCCCCCTGCCACCAGCCCCGCCCACCACCCCTTTCTCCTGCGCTGTCCCTGCTGTGGCTTATGCCACATGGCCCCTCCCTTTTGGACACTTAAATGTTGCTCACCTGGAAGGTCTCTCCTCCCTAAAGACTTCTTTTCTCTAAAAGGGTGCTCAGTCTTTCGTCACGGCCCTACCTATTTGGAACCAGATAGTTACTTGCCCCATGAGGTGACTGTTTTCTGTCACCCTCACTGGGTGGGAAGCTTCAGACCAGCCCTGGACCCTTTTTGTTTTCACTACACCACTCCCCACACTGTGCTTGGCACACGAATGCTCCAGGGGGTCTGGCAAGGGAACACTTGCACGGCCTACCCGTTACCTCAGCCAGCCTCCTGCACGTGTCTTAGATCAGTTCACACCTTCCAACCGTGTAGAAGAGAGTCAACACAGCAGGCCTGATTGCTCTCAGCAAGGCCTGGGGGCAAGGCTGGCTCCTGGCTGGGGGCTGGCATTTCAGGAGGGTTCCTACCACCCTAACCAGTAAGAGGAGCTCGCTCTGTTTAAAACATTCATGTGAATGATGTGTTCATGCTGAATGTCTATTATCCATCTGGGAGTCTGGAATTTAAGTACATGCTGGGCAAACAGTGGCCAGGTGATCAGCCCTGAGTGAAAACCCTGGCTGCTGAGTCTCATGAGCCTCCACGGGGGACCACATTCCACATGTGCTGTCACCATTTAATGGTGGGGTAATTAAGCGTGTCCCATGTGACTCCCCAGGAGGAGGCCTCTGGAAGTGCATGCCTGGATTCCTCCAGCCGTCCCCTGTCCCCTTGTGAGCCAGTGGCTTTGCTGGGCAGGCCCTGCCTGTAATACTTCATGGCCATGAGTACGCTGTGCTGAGTTCTGAGCCCTCCTGGCGAATCACCAAACCTGGGAGTGGTCTTGGGACACCTGCCACGCCTACTCCACACTCACCGCCAGGGACGGACCACCCCCGGTCTATGCCCCGCTGCCTCCCTCCACCACAAGATGGCAGACTGGAGCGCTCAGGACTGAGGTCCAGAGTATTCCATCAGCGCCTTACCCAGAAGGCTTACCAAAAACAGACAGAAGAGCACCTCACGGCATAACCTAAGAAGTGGTTCCCATCCATGATACAACACAGATTCCAAATGCAAGACTGGATGATGTTGTTAAGAAACAAAGTTTATTGTTCTTACTGGGAGGCCAAGATGGAAGGAAAACAGATGCCTTGTAATGAAAACTAAGATGTTATTTGTCCTCCAGAATTAACTTTTCCCCCAGCTTCTCAGGAGATAAGACTTGTTTTAACTGAGATTTCTTTAAATGGTTAAGTGACATAAGGAATGTTTAAAATGAAAAATTATTTTAATCACTTTTTAAAATCTCAATTAAAATATACACTATTTATAGTCAATGCAATTGCAATCTTCAGCATCAACATTCCTGTGAAGAATTTAACCTTGCCCAGGATGAGAGCTGGTCTTTCTGATATCTGAGTGGGGCTGTTCTTTTTTTTACAGAAAGATCAGAGATGAAAAAAAAAAAAAAAAAGGAGTCCCAGCCCATGATCCTCAGAAAGGACCTTTCCCCTGGAATACATAGGCAGTAGGAGATGGCTGTATGCGCTCTCTCCATATGACGCGGGGCAACGCCTGCAGTCAGAGGAAAGGAAAACGGGACCCAAGATTCAACACAGGAAAGAGAGGCCCTCGGGGGCGGTACCATCCAGCACTCACTCACCAGACTGCCCAACTGTCCACGGGTCGGGGAGGCCCCGCACAGGTACGGGCCTCCGAATCTGCACAGCTGCCTTCAGCCCCTGCACAGAGTGACAGGAACAAATTAGAGCCACACAGCCAACGGGATCCACACACAGCTGTTTACCCTGGCTGCACTTGTGTGACTGGCCATGCTACGGGGATAATCTGAGGAAAGGGGCGTGCCATTTGCCTTGTCCAGATTAGCCCAGTTCTTAAATTGAGAGCTAGTCACCATAGAGAATTTCAACTCCAACACAGGATGGAGGGAAGAGGCCTGGGTGGTAGAGGCACCCTCTGAACAGCCTCCAGCAGCCAGAGCAGAGGCAACGGCTGGCCAGCAGGCTGAGGCCTGGAGAGATGGGGTAGAGGTGGACAGTGTGAATGGGGGTGGTTAGGAAATTAACTCCCCAGTGGAAGCCCTGTTGTAGGAAAAAGGATTTCAACTCTCCTCTGCTGGTAGCTGCTAACTTGCATTTCTGACCTTGTGTCCAGGGTGGGGTCCAGTGGAAACAGGAGCCTGTCAGGAGCAATTCCTGGGGGCCCAGGACCTAATGGTGGCTCTAAGCACTGTGGGGACAACAGGGAGAGGAGGAGTGGTCAGAGGTAGGTCATATATTGAGGACGAACTCATAAGACTTGATGGGAGATGGGAAGTAAGCGTGGCAGGTGACAGGCAGGGGCAGCTGATGGGCAGGGGCAGGTGGGAGGAGGCCCCCTGCCCTCAGAGCACGGCTCAAAGTCCACCTTAAAGTGGCCTTCTCTGATACTCTCTCCATCACAACAGGGAAGCACATGGCCCTTAAGCAAGAGCTCAGTCCCAGCCTGGACACTCTACAGAAAGCCCTTGGGCCCTAGGACCTGCTCATTCCTATAGGCTTTCTGATGCCCTGGAGGAAGAAAGGCAGGCCCCAGCCTGAGTGCTAGCCCCTCCCCCAGGACGGCTCTGGGCCTGCCACCACCTGGGCACAGTCACCTTCAACTCAGAGATGCTTGGGCCTGTTGGCAGTTTCTACCAGGAGCTAAGCCTAGGCCTCCTGCAGGTTCCCAGTTCCTAACAGCTGGCCCTAGATTCTCCCTCCCCTCTTGCCTCCCTGTTCACAGAACTCCCAAACCCCATGCCTTCCTGGCTGGGGCTGCAGCCCTCATAGTGAACCACCTCCCAGGCTTACTGTGCATCCAGAAGACCAAGGCGACTCCTGGAGAGCTGGCTGGGCCTCAGGAAATAAAGGTGTACCCCTCTCTCCCATCTTGGGCCTGCTCTGCATCTTCAGGTCCAGCCCCAGCCCCTAGGGAAAGGCATAGAGGGTGCTGAGCAGAGTAGAGGCAGCACTTAAGACTGTTTCCGCCCTGCAAAACCATTGGTTTTGAGGGCATGCCATCAAAAGGTGGGGTACACAGGTCTGGCTGTTTCAGACCTAGCAACTCCCCCTACTCCACTGTGGGTGCCAGCCACCAATGAAGGTATCCCAGGACTGATACCTTCAAAGATGAACCTGACCCGTTTCTGGCTGCAGGGGACCCTGGCTGGAAATTAGGCCACCAGCCCTCAGAGGCATGGTGAGATGTTTAGTTACATCTACTGGGCTAGCATCTGATGCTCTGAGGCCAACACTATCTAGGACACAGGTGCTGGGGTGCAGAATGAGGAAGCCCAGAGACCTCACTGGCTCTGGGACCAACAGGCCCAGCCTGGGGCAAAGCTGGGCTCTATCTGTCCCTCCATCCAAACCCTAACCTTCGAAATCTGCAAGAACAGGAACCCACACCTTGGAAGCTCCCATGCTTTGGGGAGGCAAGAACTCAGGACCAGAGTGGGGACAGCGGGGCTCCATGTGTATTATATACTGTAATGTTCCTACTGGTTCTGAAGTCGTTTCCACGTTTTGAAAAGGGATTCTTCCTAGTGGGGAGTCTCAATTTGTCTCCTAATAGGTGAGGGACCCCCAACAACTTTCCCACATTCTTGGCAATCAGGATGGCCCCTGCCGTCTTGCAGGTTCTCTTGTTCAGGTCCAGGTTATAGTTCCCCCAGAAGCCATTCCCACCACAGCTAAATTGTGGAAGCCTTCTCCCCAGGTGGAGTTTGCTCCTGGACGGGGACGGGTGATGACGGAAAGCTCGCCCACATCCGTGCCACAGCTAAGGAGGCACGCTGCCAGCATTTTCAGAGATGCACCTTGTTTAGACAGATCGAGTCCTTCCAGGACATTGCAGGCTTCACCATGAGGCTTTCTCAATTCGCAACTTCCATGGGACTTCTCGAAATAGGTAACATTCCTGAAGACTGTCGAGGAGTAAATCATACTGTACACATTGACGTCTGAGTCACACTGATGGAAATGTTAACTTGGGCAAAGCTTCTAGGAAGAAAGAGTCTTGGGCAACAGGAGGAGCCTGCCCAAATTTATGAGTCATAGACACTCCCTTCAGACACTGTGGCAATGTCCTAAGGAAATGCCCCAAATGGATCCCTGGCTCTGGTGAGCATCTCCAACTCAGGAATTCCTTACTGCTTCTATGAGAGGGAACAAGGGACGATCCCCAACAAATCTTACCACATGCGTATTATAGGATGAATTTTCCTCCAAAATATCCTGCGCAGGGGTAGATGCTTTGAGTTTAAGTTGAGATTCCCAATCTAAAATGAAATGAAGAAAAAAATTAACATCTTTCAGAAACAGAAGTATGATATTGACCATATAGGTGACCCTTGAACTTCAATGGAGGAGCTAGGAGCACTGACACCCCGCCACCCCATGCTGTGGGAAATCCACGTGTAACTCCTGACTCCCTAAAAACTTAACCAGAATAGCCTACCATTGACCAGAAGCCTTACTGATAACATAAAGTTGATTAACACATATTTTGCATTTTGTGTATTATATACCATAATCTCACAATAAAGTCAGAGAAAAGAAAATGTTTTTTCAAATTGTTGCATATCTCCAATTTTCCAACATAATTTGTTGAAAAGCATCTGTGTTCAGATCCATGTTGTTCAAGGGTCAACTGTATACATCCACATAAACATACATACTAGACATATGTATATATATGCACATATATATGTGCATAAACATATACCATGCTTTTTTTTAAAGTATCAACCCTAAACCTGGGGTGATACTGAAAGTCAAGAGGCATTAGTGAGCAAAGGAAGACTCTCCAGCGGGCTGTGTGTGGGATTCGGCAATGATAGGACCAGGGGAACACAAGAGGCCATCTCTTGGCCAAAGAGGCTCCAGGGATTGAAGACTGATGTTGCCAGAGAGTGAGTGTTATCAGAGAAACATGTAAGAAGCAAGTAGACAAGAAATAGACAGACAAATGTTCAATTTAAACAGCAATTGGACAGTAACTGTGGGTAAAAGGTGGCAACATCAGAACCCTCATCCACTGCTGGTGGGAATGTAAAATGGTGCGCCTGTTCGAGAAAGCACTTTGGCAGTTCCTCAAAAAGCTACATAAATGACCCAGCAACTCCACTCCTAAATACAAACCCAGGAGAACTGAAAACATGTCCACATAAAAATCTTGTGAATGTTCATAGCAGCATTATTCACAATAGCCAAAAGTGGAAGCAACCCAAATGTCCATCAACAGGTGAACTGTTAAGCAAAATGTGGCCCATCCAGACTCAGTGCAGTATTACCCAGCTATAAAAAGGAACGAAGCCCTGGCATGGCACGTGGATGAACCCTGACATTATGCTAAGTGAAAGCCAGACACAAAGGCCACATGTTGTATGATTTCATTTCTACGAAGTGTCCAGAACAGGCAAATCCAGAGACAGAAAGCAGGTTCCTAGTTGCCAGGGGCTGGGAGAAGGAGATGGGGAGTGTCAGCTAATGGGGACAGGTTTCCTCTGGGGTGAGGAAATGTTCTGGAACTAGATGGAGGTGGTGAGTGAATAGACTAAAAACCACTGAATTGTGTTCACCTTTAAAAGGGTGAGTTTTACGGTATATAAATATCTGGATTTTTAAAAAAGAGAGATTGGAACAGATCTTTTCCTGAGCCCAAAGATATAAAGTATGAGTGGAGAGCTAGAGAGTGAAAACAGAAGGCAGGCTGAAGGAATTCACTTGAGAAAGCTCACCCCAAACAGCCTTGTTTCCCCTCCAAACACAGGGCCTTTCATAGGCTCCATGCCTGTGCAACCCAGCGAACTGCCCTGCACTCACCCACACACGGGACACAGGGTACCCCTCCTTCTGTCACCCTCAGCTCTTCTCTTGACCCCACCTGGGAGGCCAGACTGGGTATGCATGGGGAAGTCCCTGTACCTGGGCACAGACACATATGCCCAGGGAGGAGGACCTGCAGAAGAAAACAAACTTGGCTCTGGCCCACCCAGCTGCCACTAGCAGGCTTCAGCCCCATGCTGGTCATGCACCACGGGAAGCAATTTCTAATGAACGCATGAAGCTCTCTCAAGCACCCTCCTATCTGCCCACAGGGCTAACGTGCTCTCAGCCCCTGAAGCCTGGGCCAAGCTCCACCAGACTCATGCAGATCCTACGGACAGAATAAAGTCAGCACAACTTTACAGATGAAGCTGGCACCCTGCAGAAGCCAGTAACTGGGAAACCCCACGAAGGCCACCCTGAATCTTTCAAAGACCCACGAGCGGGCACTTAGGAAGCATCTGGCACCCGTGTCCAGGGAGGGTGGGCCTAGTGCCAGCCTTCCCCCTGGGGGCCAGGGTCTTGCAGTTGTCCAAGATCATGTATCTGCACGGGCTCCTCCACGTGCCGTGCAGCAATGCTCACTCCTGGATGAGCCCCACTGCCACATCCTCCAGAGTGACTGATTCCTACGACAGCATGCAGGTTCTTACTAAATGAGCCCTGATATGCAGTCAGACTCCAGAATTAGGTTCCAGGGGTCTCCGTGGGGACCCTCCTCCCAAACCAGTTCCCTCTGGAGGTCATGAACTGAAAGAGGTCATGGGTCCCCTGGGGGAGGATAGAAAATATTCTACATTTCCCCCCCTCCTTCTCTTCCTCTGTTGGGGTGGCCAGGAGAGAAGGGACAGGACCCAGAGTACATAATTACCCCCCACAACCATCCCGACTCCTCCAATCCCTTCACCATGACACCAGCACCAGGGTTCACAGTCTCAGAAGGTGTCCTCCCTGCAATGAAAGAGCGAGGCAGGAAGCAGAGGACCAAGCAGGGCTCTGGTCCAGGTAATTCCACTGTCGTGGGCCTCCAGCAGGGCAGCCAATCAAAACACCTTCTACTTTTCTTCCATCACCCTTAACGAGTTGTGATTTTTATATTTATTTGTTTAGACAATCTTGCCTCTCTCTCCAGCTACAACGTAAACTCTCCAAGTATAGCTCTGTGTCCACTCTTTTCAGGACTGCAAATTCTGCCACTGGCACAGCACTGACGCATACTAAGTAGTTTATACACTAGCGTTTGCGAAACTTTTTCTGTAAAAGGCCAGATAGTGAATATCTTAGGATTTGTAAGCAATACGGCCTCTGCAGCAACTCTTTATTGTTACAGCACAAAAACAGCAACAGACAACACGTAAACAAGAGTGTTCCGATAAAACATTACTTATGGAAACCAGAATTGGGTCTGATTTGGCCCACGAGGCACACTTTGCCAACCACACTTTGCCAACCCCTGCTCTATGCCATGCAGGAGAATACATAAATCACCAAACTCCTTCCATTCTACCTCCTATACGCCTTCCAACATTCCTTTTCCAATTGCACAGTCATCAAGCCCCAGCTGCCATCATCTACATCCTGAACTTATTCAAGCTCCTCTGCATTCATTCTTGTCCATCCTAAACTCTATGCTCAATCCAGAAACTGGTGCTCTAGCTAAACCACAATCAAAATCATGCCACTCCCCTACTGAAAACTGTGATTCAGCAGCTTCCCAGTGGCCTTAAAATAAGGCCCAAAGTTTACCATGACCTTCAGGGTCCTGCCTTCTCCAAACTGGCTAATCCATTCTGAACTCTTTGAGCTTTCCAACTTTTTCAGCTCCTGGAACACACCACACTTAGCCTGTCTGAGGCATTGTGCATGTAACTTGAGGGGTGGGGGTAGCGGCAGCCTAGGACAAATAACCTTTGAAGCCAAAATCAGTCAAAGGGAGAAATAATGTGGGAGAAACCCATTCTTGCTTATAAGTTCTGCTTGCCCATGTCTCTCATGACCTGGCTGCAAGAAGGGACCCAACCCAACCTCTCCAGCCCAGATATGCCTTCAACTCCCCTGACTCTTGTAATAACCTATCAATATGGAGATGCACTAAGGCCAGGCAAGAAATTCCGGAAATATTGCGATTTTACCCACAGTATATCAGAATATTCTCTCTCCTCCGCACTCCTACTCCACAGCCGACCCCTTGTAAAGCTACATACAACTGATCTTTTGTGTTGACACATTTGTCCCTTTTAAGATGTTTTTCCTGACATTCTCCCCAAGGTCTCCTGTTCCATGCTTGCATGTCACCCTTGTGATCCACTTAAAAATCCATCCTCCCAGCTAGAGTAAAACCTCAGCAGGGTCAAGTACTATCTGTTTTGCTAGTACTATGTCCCCCTTGTATGGGTCCCATTCCATCAAGGCCACCCCCCAATGAAAATGTGCCAAACAATCAACACTCCCCAAGAGTTCACTACAGCTGGCCTACAAAGGTACCTGCCTGCACACCCAGACACACAAAACAGCATAATACCACAAAAAATCACATAAAAATGACTTCAAAGGCCTGTTTACGCACTAGATTTCAGATTTCTTAAACAAGCAGCATTCATTCTTTCTAAAAAGACATGGTGGACATATATTCCTTTTGAAGACAAACACAGCTCACTCATAAAATTGAAATCTGATGTGTAATTTTACTCCAGAATTATTTTTTTCCTCATTTCTCAGAAGAAGTGAGCTTTAACCTTTATTTAAAAGAAAAAAAAGAAATCCTATTTATGGCCACCTCAATTTAAGTTCCCAGTACCAACAAAGCTATGCCATCTTTTTCCTGCACTGCCATATTTTAAGCCTTGTGATTAAGGCTTCAGGTAATGGCTGGAGCCTTCCTGAAAAGAACAGAATAGTCTTACTTTTCCTTGATGGTAAGACATGATGTAATTGAGAAATGGCTTTTCTTCAGACACCCTCCCTGTCCCGGTGAAAATGAAACATACAAAGTAAAAGCCACAAATTAAAAGCTCTTTTCAATGACGGGAAGAAAAGGAAGAGAGAGGAAAAGAAAAGAGAAAGGAAAAAGTAAAGAAAAGTTAACAGGTCCTAAGCTAAGGAACTGCAAATCCTCACCCACCAAAAACAAATCTCTTGTCATCTAAGTCATCCCTTTATAGAGGGTACATTTCACTCCTTAAATTCACTTGACAAGCCATTCAAATCAACTGGCACATGTAGACTCTGCCCTAACCCTCCAGTTACAGAGCTAGATAATATGAAATGTTCTGTGAAATACAACGTGAGTCACTAACACTTATCTTGCCTACGGGAGATAGCTGGCTAGGGCCCTACAAATCAGGGGAGAACGGGTAGGGGCGAGCTGGTGTCACCACACCCCTGAGCTGCGGGACCCGGCCTGCACTTCCCGATTTCCCTTCCCGTGCTGGGATGACGATCCTGTGTGCACGGCCGGGGCCGGGGTGGGGGGCGTACCTGAGCGCGTGGGGTCGTGGTCGGGGCCGGGGGGTGTCAGTCCCATCCGCCCGGATATGGGTACGGGAGGGCGAAAGACTGGCTGGAGCGGGGAGGTGACAGTACTGCCGGCCCGGACGAGGGTACCGGAGGGCGAGGGACCGGTCGGGGCGGTTGTGGGGCGTCCAGCTGAGAGGCCGAGCTGTGCGGGCTGGGTCCCGGCCCTACGGCCGCTGCGAGAAGGGCGCACCCCGGCGCCGGCGGCTGTCCCGGGCCCTCCGGCTCCTCCCAGCGCCCGCCGAGCCTCCCCGCCCTCCGGAGGGGCCGAGCTGCACCTACAGACCCGCAGCAGACACTCCCACCGCAGCACGCCAGCGCTGATCAGCACAGCCGCCGCCAGCCGCCGCCGCCGCTGCCGCCGGCGCGCGCCTCCACGTCCGGTTTCGGGGCCGCTGGGAGCGGAAGTGGCCGTGGCTCCGGCTCGCGGGAACCGGAGGCGCTTCACGCAGCGGCGGATATTTTAACTCCTTATCCAGTCTCGGAGGAAGAATTCTAGCTTCCCTCCCGTGGGGACAAGGTTAGGCTCCGGGGTCGGGCGCACCGTGCTGACCCGGCGAAAGTGTCGGAGGTGGGGCCTATCCCCGCGGGTTTGGGCTGGGGGCGGGGCTTGCATCCCTGGGGGGTTTGGGGCGGGGCCTCACTGGCACGCCGAGATGCTCAATATTTAATTTCCCTTCACCCTTTATTTCCCCAGCCTCTCCCTTTCTCCTTTGATTTAACCCATTCCCCCACAAAAACATACCCATAGGTAAGATTTATTTTTCAGGCTTTCTAATTTCCCCTAAAAATAGGATTATATATTTTATTTCTTCAACTTGCCTTTCTAAACATCTGTCTGTGTTGACAGTAACTACACTAGTTTGGGTGAGCATTTAATAATGTAGATAACTGTTGAATAACTATGCCGTATAAGTGAAACCAATATAATATTGTATATCAACTGTACTTCAATTGAAAACATCAAAATAAAAGCAAAAGAACTATTGTATCAAGCACATGTGCCTGTTATTTCTTTTAATAAATACCAAGACAGCATCAGTTGATTGCTGCACGCTAAATGTTGGGTTACAAAGCGCCTTCCTGCTAGGGCCTTCCAAGGGGAAGATTGTAGGCAAAATCTGGAGAGATGAGGTTGATCCATTTTATTAATGAAATGAATTCCAACACGTTGTAGTACATGCTACATTAGCAGAATAAAAAAAAACTAATAAGATGTGGAGAACAAATTAAGAAATTTGGCGTGGTTGAAAGTGAGTTCTTGAAGGATGAACATGAAGTCATCGGGAATAGTTAGTAGGAAACCTCCCAAGTAGGGGTGTAATGGGAGCAAAAACACAGGCATGGGGAAATACATGTTCCAGGAACACTACGTAATATGTTATGGCTAGAGATTTACCGTGTGTGTGTGCGTGTTAGTGTCACAAAAATGGAAAAATAGATCAAAAAACATAACAAAACAGAGCTCAGAACCTGACTCGGGCATATATGTGTCCAAGTATTTCAGGTTAATGGGGAAAGGAAACTGGTGGGACAATTGGCTAAAGGAATAAGCTGTTAGAACCCTATTTGACATCATTTACAACCTGACATGAAATCACCAAGCACAGAGCAGGCATATCTTAAAAACATTTGTTGGATGGATGGATGAGTGAATAAATGTGAAGACCATGTTAACTCCCTTTTCCACACACTTATTACTAAATTTAGCTTATTAATGAGTATTTTGGGGCTGAATTTCCAAGTGCAATAAGAAAATAATAATGTATTTTAAAGTGACATGAGAAACAACTGGTTAATATCTGTGTAGTATTTGCCTCAGCTTGTTATACCCTAAAGATTTAGACCTTCATCGGTATCTCAGTCCTGTTTCATAAACTCAGCATTTGGAACCACTTTGAATTTCTTATTCCTTAGTTTTCCCAGAAGGTGGCAGTATGGTGTAAGGACTATATACTCTAGGGCCAAATAGGATTTAACCGTCATCGTCATCATAAATAAAATGTTGTTCATAAGGGATCTTATTTGTGCCTTGCCATAATCCAAGTATAGTATTTCTAAATTTTATCAGAATAAAACCAAAAATAGTTAAAAGCCTTAAATTGTTTAGACAACTAAATAAAAAATGGTTTGTGTTAAGTCAGGCTCCCTTGGTGGGGTTTGGGTGCTTGTGATTTATCAGGGATCACTCTCAGGAGACAGAGTGAGGAAAGCAGTATCAGGCAGAGCTGAATGAAGATGTGGGTTTGGCTGGAGTCAAGCATCACCCTGACCCCACAGGGAGCCCTGGAGCCTAAGGGACACCACAAAGATGCTCCCTCTTGAGACAGGAGGCTGACATTTTATATCCGATCCTGGACTGTCATTGGCTGCAAGATGTTCCCTAAGGAGGAGGGTCACAAGTCCCCAGAGCAGCTCCTGTCCACTTGAAGGCAATTATCTGGAGGGAAGGGCAGATAAGAGAGATCACAGCCAACTCACAACTGGGGGTGGGGTTATAAAGAAAAATTCACTGGTTCTTTAGGGGACAAATGCATTCATGGAATTAATGAAACCTGGTATTTTTCTCCTTTGTTAAAAAAAATACATTTTCATGGAAATACTCCTAGGGATAGGGCAAGAAATGGGATCTGGGTGAGGCACCAATGGCATCCCCTACAGAGATCTCCACCAACACTTCCACGAATTGATCCTGCCTGCAAAACTGGCTGCCATCGTGATCCTTGAAACTGCAAAGAAGGAAGAGTCACATGAAAGCTGCTCACCCCCAGGTTTATCATGATGATGCAACATGGCCTTAGGGGAAATCATCCTTATTTTGAACACTAAAATGAAGGGGAAGTGACGTTCATATTCTGTGTAGCAATATTTGAGGCAATGGGTAAACACAACCCAGAGAAAGATTTGAGCGCTGTAGTGGGTGCTTCTGGTGCTCTACCAAGATCCCATCTTTCACTTTGCTTGTCAGGTTATGTCTGCACCCCACTCCCAGAATGCACACTTGAAGGACTTGGCCAGGAGTAGAACAGTGCTGGAAAGAACACATGGTGTTCAGAGACGCATGAGCAGGGCAGGTGGGCAGCCTGAGAAAGAAGGGTGGGAGATGAGGCTGGAGGGTGGACAGGGCCAGATAGGGTGGGTTTTGTGTGCTTGCTGAGCAGTTTAGCCTGCAAAAGTATCTATGGGGCTGTGAGGTAGACGTGTATGGATTCAGATTCATGCTTCAGAAAGTTCTCCCGACCGCAGGACAGAGAATGGGATGGAAGGACAACCTGTTAGGAGACTATCAAAGTTATCTCAAATCAGAGATGCCTGAGTCACACACCTAATGAAGGGCGGAGCCAAAATTTGACCATAGGTGGCCTGACTCTAGAGCCAACACTCTGGAATAGCACTGGCCTGACCATTAGGAGGCATCACCTGTGTTTCTTGATCAACTCTTGCCTCTATCTGCAGAGGACCACTAAGTAGAAAGAACAGAAAGCCCAGCTGCGTGGCTTCTGAGCCAGTGGGAGGTTGAGAGCCCAACAAACTTACTACACAAGACTCATGGCCTTGACCGCCCGAGAGCCAGCTGATTCCACCATGCTCCAGCCACCCAAGGGAGTCCCACTGTTCCTCTTTCCTTGCTCACACAAGTACCTCCAGCTGTCCCTGGGGTTGACTACACTTGCAGTCTCCACTTGTTCACCTCCCATTCTTTCTTCAGTCCACTCTATTCTGTCTTTCACCACCACCATCAACATCATGACTGCTACCACCATCACCTACCACTTCCACCACCTTCCCCACTATTACCATCACCACCACCATCACCTCCACCACCACCGTCACTACTACCATTTCCACCGTTTTCGCTGCCATCATCACCACTACAGCCGCCTTTAGCACCACCAGCACAATCCCTACTATCATCATCACCTGCACCACAAACTATCTTTACCACTACCATCACCACCACCGCCTCCACCATCACCACCACCATCATCCTCATCTCCACCATCACCATCCTTACCACTGGAACTGCTCTTGCTACAAAAACAACCATCTCCTTGCTGCTCTGTCCTATGAGATTTTTCAGTCTTCATCCAGTCTTACCCTCCATGACCCCATACTCTGCTCATTTGCCCTCGCCTGTCCAGCCACTGCAGCCCTGTCTCCTCTGTTTGCTGCTCCTCCCCTCTATGATTTTGAAATTATTTACTCAGGCCTCTGTTCTCACTCACAATCTCTCCATAAAGGATTTAATCCATTACCATGACTACAATTACCCTCCATGGGCTAGGGGGGAAAGCCCTCTCTTTTGTGAATCTAGACTTCATAAAAATGTATATTGACATCACAGCACCTCAAAATCAACCTCCCCAAAACTTAACTCTACCTCTCCCCAAAAAACTTGCTGTTCCTCCAATGTTCCCTTTCTCTGTAGCTCTGTATGGAAGACATTATGTTAATTTTGTTCACTGCTGAATCCCTAGGAAGTAGCATGGACCCTGTCAATAATATTTGTCCTAGTATTTGTTAGAGGAAAGGACTTAGAAGCCTATTGTCCCAAATCCTTCAATTGGTTTGGATTGTCCCAAATAACCAAATAATGTATCACCCTCTACTGGACTTTGAGACTCCAGGTAGATCTGGTGAGTGCCATCTGCCAAGGAGGAAAAAAGTCCTAAGATTTGTGAAAATGATGCCTCCAATAACTTTAGATGCCAACAGAGATACTCTAAATTCTGGTTTATCTGACTTAGAATCACAGGATTATTTAAGGTTTATTTTGACCTTAAAGTCACTTCCTACTCCTCAGACAATGCTCTGTAATTAAAGGGCATTCCTTCCCTAAGGTCAACTGATTCTATCATTCCAAAGGCCATCAACAAGAGCTAGAAAAACCTACTACCAAAAAAGCGTATGCAAAAAGTGCAGAAATGGTGTGAAAAATAAAGCAAATAAAAAGCAGAACTATGGGTCTCATGATGAAAGAATGGAGGAAGTTTATTCATCTCATAGCAATATCCTAAGTCAGCTGACCCAGGCTACGTGTGTCAAAATCTCATGAGATTTCCTTGAGAAAGGAAAAGTGGTCATCTGAAAGTGCAGAAGAGAGATTCAAGAGCCAGCTGGCAAGGGCTACCTGAATGCAGGAATGCGAGGGCCACTGCTCCTTCTAGGTATGTTTAACCTTGGCAATGACTGCCCCTTAACCTACCACCTATCAGGAGCTACCGACTCCAACAGTCGGCTCTTTTCCTTCTGGACTGAGCGCTCTCTTCCCCTTGGATCATGGCTTGCTTCGTTACCACCCTAATCAATCTGTGCTGTCAAATAGCCCTAACATTTTCCTGATGGTCCAGTCCAACGAGTTCTTCATCTTCTTCTTTACAGGTTTCGTTTCACACTGGTAGCCTCTCCTCCTTGATAACTTCTGTGAACCGGCACTGCCATGGCTTTTTCTCTGCCTCTCTTGCTCTTCTTCCCTCCCCCTCCTTTTTAACTTTTCCCTAAACCAAGAATATTAAGGACAAACAACATTTTTGAGCACTGACCATGCATCTTCTGTTATTAACCCATTTAATCTTCACAGTAGGCCCACGAGGTGGGTACTAATATTATCCCCATTTTACAGATGAAGAAACTGGGTCACAGAGAGATTATGTTACTTGTCCGAGGTCACACAGCTTGTGAATGGATTCTAACTCAAGCCACCTGGCTCCAGGTCTTGGCTATAAAGCTTCTCCCAAAGGATTCTGCCTAGGGTCTTCCTCTCTTTTTTCACTCCCTCTCCCTAGAGGAATCTCATGATCCTCTAGCTTTAACCATTCCTCTACACAGATGGTTCCCCAATGTCCATCTGGCTCCAAATCAAATAATAGAAATAGCCTCACTATCGTCCAAAACATTACATTTATTGAGCACCTACTTTAGCCTGTTATCAGGCTAAAATGTCTTGATTTCATTGTCACTCAGCGTCTCCACATTTACAGATGCAAAATAGCATCACAGGTTCTGTATGACCTTTCAAAGGCCCATAATGATTTACTTGCAGGGGCATGTGGTAGACCATAAAGTCTATCAAAATAATTACTTGAAGGAAAATGCCAAGTCTCCTCACCTTTGCAGCCTCTTCCACACTATATATATAAGAACTGTCCAGCGGAATCAAATTTAAATGAGAGAGTGTGCAATTTTTTGTATATTTATTATACCTCAATAAACCTTTAAAAAATGTAAAAGCTCAAACAAGATGTTTCCTGCTTTGGAGCAACTGGAGGCCGAGTCCTGGACACTTCTGAGATGGACTATTTGTGAATTCCAATTACCCATGGGAACTCTGCCCCCATCATTGGATGGAGCAAGTGCTGTAATGGGAGGAGCACCAGGTGGACAATTAGAATAGGATTCCAGGGCAAGTAAAATGGTAATAGAGGCAACTAGCATTTGTGGAGCAATTTCTGCCAGACATTGTGCCTAACACATTCCCTCACTTACGTCATTATCCCAACCACAGGAGATAGGCAGTGCTGTCACCATGTTTCATGTAAGGGGATATAAATTAAGTAACTTACTCAAATGTTCACAACTAGTGTCTGAGACACTTGACCTCTGGGGACTTGCTTCCTCATTGATAAAAAGAGTCAGGGGATGATTTCTAAAGTCTCTTAGGACTTTGGGATACTAGCGCACTCATGACTCTTGGGAAACCCTAATTTAAGGCGCATACACCTGTTACTGACTATAGGTTTGGAAGTAGACCCTGAAGACTCACCTCAAGGAAACAGGATGGTCCAGACTGCCTGAGATGTAGAAATTAGGGAGCACTTTTCAGCCACGTTTTACTTGGTGGATCTGTGAGCTATCGTCCTCATTTGGGCAGGTGTAGTGTAAATGTGGCTTCTGCAAATTAAACATTATACAAAACTCAGGCGAAGGGAAATTTAACTTTATTAGGAAATATGCCAGGACCCTGCCATGAAGCAGTTGACAGCCCAACTGAGTATATAATCATTAGACAAACACAAATATTCATAACACTCCATGAACGAAGTTGCGTGAATAACTAATGACAGGGCACAGACCCAGCACCCTCTCTGGGGGAGGGTGGGAGCATGGGAGGATGGACGACAGCCCCCCAAAGATGACAATGTCCCAGTCCCCTGGACCCTGTGAGTTTGTTACCTTACACGTGTAGGGGAGGAAAAAATTCTCCTGTACTGTCTTGGGGTCTCTAACTGGGAATAAGAATTAAAATGATAGAAGACAGATTAATAGGAGAGAAGCATACACATCTAGTTAAACTCTGAAGCGCAGCCTTCACAAGAGAATGAAGATTCAAGGAAGTGACCAGAGCACAAAGCTTTTACACCTTTTGGGCAAAGAAATGATAAATCTGTGAAGAAATTACAAGATGAAGGGGCTTGGGCTATGGCCAATAAATTGACCAGGAGATATATGGGAAGGAAAACCAGGGAAGAGAGTGGGTTATTTTACTAAGTGTATTTGTACAGATCCATTTCCAGCCTCTGGCACTAAGGGTGTTCTCGTCCTGGCACACAGAGGCCCCTTTCTTGGGGGAAACTGTACGGTCTGCTTTTAGGTAGGAAAAGGGTAGGTCAGAAAGCCCTGCCTGCATCTGCTGTTTCTCAAATGCCTTCAGCTCAAACTAATCAATGTGTCAAAGTGGCATATTTGGGGGGTGGCATGTCCTGATTTCCCTCTCATGGTCAAAGGGACTTTGCAGATATGTATTAAACCAAGGATCTTGCGATGGGGAGAATATCCTGGATTGTACAAGGGAGCCCTATATAATCACAAGGGTCCTTCTGGAAAGGAGACAGGAGACCAGAAAGGAGAGAGGCTGCCATGTTGCAGGCTTTAAAGATAGAGGAAGGGGCCATGAGTCAAGGAATGTGGGCAGCCTCCAAAAGCTGGAAAAAGCAAGGAAATGCTGGGCTCCCCGAGAGCCTCCCAAAGGAATTTCTGTTGTTTTAAGCCACGAACATACTCACAGTTCTGAAGTGCCATGGAAGCTGCCTGACTGGGAGGAAGCCCAAACTACCCCAGACCCTGAGAGTACACAAAGGGGCAGCAATGCCCAGCCAGTACCCAGCTACTCCAGCCCCAACCACCACTGTGTAAGAAACTCCAAACCAGAAGCACCCACGAGACTTCCCCAGATCCCTGAATCGCTAAAACCGCGCGAGAGAATAAAAGGAACACTGTTTTGAGCCACTACATTTTGTGTTGGTTTTTAAACAGTAGTGAGTAACTGATGCGCAGCCTTTGGAGAATTTCTTGGGCTCTTTCCTCAGTAGTTTCTTGTGTCTCCCCTCTGCTTCCCGTTCCAGGGCTCTGCCTTCTGCTGCGTGTCTCAGGAGTTGGGGCTCAGAAGACCAAATGTGAGTGTTCAAAGCCCAGCTTTTCTGTAGCCAGAGACCAGGGAGGGCTTAGACCAAGGGTGTGTCTGGGACCACGCATGCCCTCCCACAGGCTGCAGACAAGGGGCTTGTTCTGGGAACAGAATTTGGGCAGGCTTGCTCCTGTAATTCTTTTTAATGATCATTTCATTGAATTTGGGTATCTTTTCATTTATATTTTGTTTTACCATTGTGTGTCTTTAGTAACCACACTGTGCCCAATGTAGAAATAGAACCGTGAATGAAACACACACAGTCTCGTAAATTGAACATTCTAGTGGGGAGAAGCAAAGAATGATGGTAATCATTCCATTCTGACCATAAGTAAGTTAACAAAAAGTTCCCATTTCCCTCAAACCCTGCACAGTTTCCAGATTTCCCCACTAGACCCAAAGCTGGAGATATTTCCTCAGCCCCATTATTTTCATTAATTCATTCCCCACAGGCCTCAGATTAAGATCTTCAGTGTGTCTCTGTTTAAATGAAGTTATCCAAAGGACTATAGAGCTCTCATGCACCCTTATCAGAATGTACCTCCAGTAACACCCTACACATTCAAATTTTTATAATCATAGCTGACACATTATGTGTCAGGCACACCCAACGCATTTCATATGTACTGATTCACTTACTCCTTGCAATAACCCACTTTACAGACCAGGCAATTGAGACACAGAAAGATGAAGACACTTGTGCAAAGACACACAGCTAGTAAGTGGTGGAGACACACTCAGACTCGGGCTCCAGGGTCTTAACCAACTCATTCCCCATGTATAAATTCTGCAGAGGTGTTGAGAATAGCACAATTACATTGCATTGAGATTTTGTGTTAAAATCAACATCAATCTCAGTCCTTTATCAGGACAGGAGTCACACTTTCTGTAACTTGGATTCGGTATCTAATTTTTTATTGCAATCTCATAAAAGGGAATAAGTGCAGGCTTCCTCCATCTTGAGAGACCTGCTCAGAGGCAACGCCAAATGTTAACAGGACTTTTTGACCCCAGTGATGTCTGACCTGCCTCTCTATTCCCCACAGCTCCCTGTCTCCAGTGCCCCTTAAATGCTTCCTGTGTCAATGGCACTTACTGTACCTGCAATCCTGGATACACTTCTGAATCAGGGCAGAAATTCTTCACATTCCCCTTCGAGATATGTAAAGGTAAAGGGGGCTATTTTCAAATCACTCAGAGTGGGGAGTGGATGAGAGGCGACCTAGGGGCTCTGGGGAGTTGAGTTCCCAATAATCTGCAATGCTGGAAACTACTAACTCAGCCTTCACAAAAATGAAATGCTCTCGTGAAGTCATATAGAGGGCTCTTCCAGAAGCTCGCCAGGTCTCAGCTTTCCCCTCTATAGCACAAGGATGTCGATGCTGGCTCCATGAGAGTGCTAAGGGTATTGAATAAGGTAAGGATTGGCAGTACTTCATGAATTATAAAGCATCATACAGATGTGGGGTTTTTTTTAACTTAAGGGGGAGAATATGCATTGAAGTCATAGCAAGGAGAGACTAAAAGCTAGGGCAGAAACATTTCTAATATAAAGTCTTACGATCATCTAAGATGCAAAATGCAGTCTCAATTCAATAATGAAAATGTCCAATCACATGGAAGAATAAACACTCCAGACTTGAGTTAATATTGGTTCTTCCCGTCCCCTCCATCAAGCTCTCTCCTGGTTGGAAGCCTGTAGTCAAGAGTAGGGGGTATAATTGGTTTCTCACCTCTTTGCCCATGAACATTCTACTTTTCTTCACCCAGTCTTGCTAGGATTAGAACCCAGCAGGGAGAAGGAAAGGGGATCAGGGAAGTATCTACTTACCCGGTGCTACTGTTTCTATTGAGCCTCAGTGTTCCTGAGACAGAGCACTTTCTATCATGACAGCCTTTGTGGATTCTTTGAAGAAAATTCTCCTCCCTGCTAATCACTCCCCTGACATTTCCCTGGTAATAGCAAATTCCTCCCTGTGCCTTCCGCATCCTGGAGGAATCCTGCACCTCCTCCTGCTCCTCCCTGGTGGAGTAGGTCCAGTTGGTTCTCCAAGGGGCCGTTTTGGACAGAAACTAAGCAACCCCCTGCCAGAAGTCTCACGCCACGACCCGTGTCTAGTTCTTGGGAAATAGTAACTCACCCTTTGCTCAAGAGACTTAGGATGTGAAGGTGGAATAGATATCTCTTCTTGGTCCCACTGCAAGCCAGTTAATCACCATTTAGATTTTTTGAGGCAAAGTAGGCACCAGTCAACTGGGTCCCCACAAAATGCAGGGGATGTGTAATTTGCTAAACTCCTTAAAATCTCTCTCTCTTGGATTGAGATGAAGAGGAAAACACCTACATACACTTCTCCTCTTGTATGGGAGTGGATGGGCTCACAGCGTAGCATCATCTCTCCAAATAAACTACTACTCCCCGCCGTGGGTCGTATATGTATATGAGTATCTATCTTTGTCTCTCTGACTCTCTATATATGGTACTTACTGATTGTACTCATTCATCAGTTTCTCCATAGCCTTACTTATTTTTATCCTCTAGATCTTTCCTCTGTGTGTGCTTATTGTTTGTTATATTCAATTCCTCCTCTATTCTTATTTATTTTTTGTCTACTAGTTCTCAGGGAAGTAAATTGAATATACAAATTATATTTTGTTTGTTATTGCTTCTTACACTTCTACTTATTTTTTTTCTTTCTGTATTTGTCTATATTGTTTGGTGCATGCATATTTATGACTGGGATATAATTTTCTTTATAAAATGTGTTAAGCATCAACACATGGTGTCCCACTTCACCATGTGTAGAACTTTAAACCTTAAATTCCAGAGTCTCATATTTAATATAGCACATTGTTTTCTTTTAATTCTCCTAGTATCTTTTTGTGCCTCCCTTTATTTTCCATGTTTATTAGCCTCTTGAAAACAGCATATAGCTGAGCATCATTTTTTAGCCGAATGTTCCAGTTATTTATTGCTGCATATATAACCCCAAATTTATTGACATAAAACAATTTTATGATGTTCATAGGTTCTTTGAACCAGAAATTCAACAAAGCACAGCAGAGATGGCTCTTCTCTGCCCCCATGATATCTGAGGCCTACGCCAAAAGGCTCAAATGACTTGTGATGACTCAAATGGCTGAAGGTTGAAATTATCTGAAGGCACTCTTATGTCTAGTGCCTGGGCTGAGCTGACTCAAACACAGATATAATCTGAAATTGTCAAATGGAGCTCCTATACCAGATTCCTCCGTGTAGCTCAAGCTTCTCACAGTTGATGGCTGAATTATGAGAGGGTATGTTCTGCACAGAACTTCCAGAGAGTTGCATGTTTTTTATGGCCCTATCTCAAATGCCCATAGGGTCATTTCTGCAGTAGTCTTTTGACTGGAGCAGTCACAAGCCCATTCAGACACAAAGGAATAAAACAGTAAACCTATATATCAATGAAAATCATGTCAAATAATTTGGAGGCCATGTTTTAAAACTGCGACACCCTGTCTACTGGCGTCTATTTTAATAGATTTCCATTCATATTTAGTGTATAGTAGTCCATTTGTATTTAGTGTCATGACTGATGTAGTTACTCCCTCCACCTTACTTTACATTTATTTTTAATTTTATGCTATCTTTATTTCTTCATTTGTCTTTTTTGTATTTGTGTTTGGTTGATCAAGTCACTGTTAACTCCATTTTTTCCTGTATTGGGAAGTTCTACTATACTTTTTTTTTATCTCATTAATGGTTACCATCTCTTAATTTCATAATCAAACACATGTTTCTTTCCTATTATTTTAAAAACTCACCATTTATTTCCCTGACAAGGATGCATTTTTTTTCCATATCAAGAAGCTTCGTTTCACACTTGCTTCGCACCCCCAGTAGAGATGAGATCTTTAAAATACTCTTATCTGAGTCCTTTCCTTTCTTCCTCTGCCCTCCCGCTGCCCCCATGAGTATCAGTTTATCTCAGGGTTCCTTGCTCACCCATGCTCCCTCTTCCCTTTCTTCTTCCCTCAAGCTGAGGTTTCTGTGCTTGCTAATTTCATACTTGTTAGAGCAAAGGAAATGTGAGATTATGCAATAATTGAGAGAGAAATTACTTCTGTGCCCAATTTGAAGAACACAGGCAAGAAAGCAACAAATTGACTCTTTAATATCAAGAGTCTGTTTTCCACCAATGGGAGATGCTCTTGCAGGTTCCCGTATTTCCCCATGTCCCACGGTGGAGTCCACACCAGGGTTGTGTAGCTACATGAGCTCCAAATGTGAGACCAGGATCCAGGTGGGAATGGTAAGAGAAAAGACCACTGGAGAGGCAGTGAGAGGAGGGGGTGTTGTGCCAGAAGTCCATTGCTACCTCGATAACAGGTAATCAATAAACAGTTGTTGAGTGAATTAATGCATGAATATAATTGAACCCAAAGTGAGTGAGTCTTTGGCCAGGCAATGGGCACCTCCACTGACAATGTACCAGTAGACCAAGATTCTACCCCAGTTCTGATATTAAGCCATTAAACTCACGTTATTTTACAAGGAGGAGAAATGTTTTTGGTTATTTTCCAGATTTCAAGAGCTCATCGCAGTCCTTTAATATGGATTGAGTCCATTTTGGGTTAGTCCAGGAAAACTCCCACAAAAAAGTATGCAGCTTTCAGCCAAAAGTGCAGTTTTCTACAACAAATGTGGTTTCCAATCACATATTCTTAGATTCAAAGTTGTAAGTCAAAGTTCTTGAACTCTGAAGATAAAGCCTTCAGTATTACAAGAAGCTCTTTGCCATTTTTAGCCAGTAGACAAAGCTGAAAACCGAGGTAAAGAACAGATATAGATTTAACTTCAATCTGATGGTAACAAGTGTGTAAATATTTGCTAGCCTTTCATTGTCTTTCTAAATGGAGATGGCTGTCCTCACAGAGCACAAGAGGCAAGACACAAAATTCTCATTAACAGCTGCGAACCAAAATGGACACTCCCAGGTCAGTTGTAATTCCCAGCCAAGGTGAATTTGAATACCTGAAGAATCTAATTTTCTGCCTCCTCAGCCATTTCAGTTATAACGTCCAGCCAAGAGTGATTTAAGAATTTGGAGCTTACACTTTTCTGCTTCCTCTGTGCCAGGGTATCTCTGCCACAGTGATACTGACATTTTGAGTCTGATGATTCTTTGTGGTTGGGAGCCATCCTGTGCACTGTGGGGAGCTGAGTAGCATCCCAGGCCTCCACCCACTGGACGCCAGTCCATCCCCCACTTCAGGTTGTGACCTCACGTGTCTCCAGCCATTGCCGATGCAAAGCCATCCCCAGAACAACACAGCTCGATACCATGACAAGGCCTTCAGACTCTGATCCCCCAACACAGCAAGCAGTCTTGTCAGTGAACATAGATAGTATGCATTCAGACCTCTAGATGCAGTTACCCACCTCACCTGCCCACTTCCCCACCTTGTCATTCTCAGTCCTAAGGGTGACTCCCCTTTATGTCTTCTGCAGAAATCACTTCCTCAGATACAATTAAAGACAAGAAAGAGGTGAGTAGAAGCTGAGAGTGGAATCTAGCCAGGTAACAAATATTTACAAAGCCCCAAATTAGCAAAGGTGGGTGGATACTATATATTGTATATGTACAATATAGTATCTATCAAATGTTGATACACATATATGTATGATGTGGCATATATGTTATGATATGTAGTATACCTTGATTATAATATATAGTACTTATAATAGTTCAATGTTATTTATCTATTATGTTAAATATATACATATATATCACTGTGTATTTATTATTATATTACTATATATCTGTATTATTTATTACTATACCTACTAGTACATTACTATATGTATGTCACTATGTGTATATCATACTGCTTTTATTACTATATATGAGTAGATATTTATTACTTTGTTTATTACTATATATCACTATATACTTCATTATAGAGATGATAGATGGTTGATTGATTGATTGATTGATTGTGTATGTATGTGTAGGGGGAGGTGTGTGTACATGTACTGCCCCCTAAAGACAGGATCTATCCAAGACCAAGAAAGACAGACTAAACAAGACTGTATTAGGGTGCGCTGAGCTGATGTGACAAAGAGACCCGATGGCTTTAACAAGATGGATCTTTATGCCTTTTTGAGTTAACAGTCCAGAGATGAGCAGTCCAGGCTGGCAAAAGGATCAAGAGTACTCACATTCTTTCCATACCACTGCACCACCCCTAGCGTCATGTCTTCAACTGATGGTCAAAGTTGGGCTGCTGCCATGTTGCATTCATACCAGGGGGAGGAAGGCAGAGGGATTCCAGAGCATTCGCCTGGAGTGCAGGGTGAAGAGGGGATAGATCTATTCATTATAGGATATGGTGACATTCCAGCTTGAATCCAGAGGCCTGAGGCCCAGGAAGAGCCGATGTTTCAGTTCCAGTCTGAAAAAAACAGCAATGTCCCAGCTCAAGGCAGGCAGGCAGGCAGGAAGGAGGATGTTCTTTCTTACTCCTACTTCCTGTTCTATTCAGGCCCTTAACTGACTAGATGAGGCTCATCCACTTCAGAGAGGGCAATTGATTTCACTCCATCTACCTGTTCAAATGCTCCATCTACCTGTTCAAATGCTAATGTCATCCAGACACACACGCACAGACACACCCAAAATGATGTCTGACCAAATATCTGGGTACTCTGTAGCCCAGTCAAGTTGACATGTAAAATTAGCCATCACACTCTCTAAGACTGATTTGCTCACCTGTAAGATGGAGGTAATAATAGCATGCACCTCCTTGGATGGATGGGCAGTTTAGACGAGATAATATAGGTGGAGTTCCTGATCCGAAGTACATGTTCCATCCACATTATCCATTGTTATCTCCAGCAGACTGACGACGTCTGGGTGATATGTCATCACTCCTTAGACAATAACCCCTTGAGGGCAAGAATCAGACCAAGCCCACATTGGGAGTTCAATTAATGTTCATCAAAGTAATGAACAAGTAATTATGTAATCAACTGAAACATTTCATTATAAAATGTCATGCCCAGATTCCTCAAAAAGTTAAACATAGAATTATGTTTATGACACAGCAACTCCACTCCTAGGAATATACCCAAGAACACTGAAAACAGGGACTCAGGTAGATATTTGCACACCTATATTCATGGGACACACAATTCACAATAGCCAGAACACAGAAACACTGATAAATGTCCATCAGCAGATGAACAGATGAACAACATGTGGTGTATCCACGCAGTGGAATATTATTCAACCATAAAAAGGCATAAAGTCCTGATTCATGCTACAACATGGATGAATCCTTGAAAACATGCTTACTGAAAGAAGCCAAACACAAGACATCACATAGCTGTACAATTCCATTTATATGAAATGTCCAAAACAGGCAAATCCATAGAGACAAAAATCAGATCAGTGGTTGCCAGTAGGTAGGGAAGGGGAATGGGGAATGACTTCTCATGGGGGCAGGGTTTTATTTTGGGGTAATGAAATGTTTTGGAACTATATAGAGGTGGTGGTTGCACATTGTGAGTGTACTAAAGTGCCAGTGAATTGACTACTTTAAAAGAGTGAATTTTATGTTGTGTGAATTCCCCCTCAATTAAAATATACATTGCCAGAGAAAGGTGCACGTCATCATGTCTGGTGCGAAGCCACTGGATACCGCAATAGCAATTCCGAAGGTCAAATACTTTGGCATCCATTCTGTACAAATGGATTTAAACAAAGATTTCAACTGTCATTTAGCGAGAGATTTTCTATATCAGGCAGGGAGTTGGAAGGCCGCTCCTAAACTAGCAAGCTCAGCTCAGAATTTCCATGAAGATTCAGACTGAAAGAGCAGAAGACCAAAGAGGTTTAGCCTAACCGTGGCTCTGAACTTTCCTCCAGCCCTTTGTAAATATCACTCTGCTTATAAATCTTTGTCGTGACAGCATTTTCCTCTGAAGAGCATTCATTCGGCCCATGAACACTTACTGAGCACCCACATTTTCCAAGGGCAGTTCTAGGCACTGCAAACAAGACAGTGCCCCTATTTAGTATACCCACGAATCCTCTGGGGAGCTTGTTGAAGTGCAGATTTGGATTCAGTACAAGAGTCCGCATTCCTAACCGGCTCCATGCAGTGCTGATGTTGCTGGTCCAAGGACACTTTGAGTACAAGGATGTGGGATCAGCATAAACACAGTCCTTCAGATCATCTATATGTCAGTTTTTAAAACTCCACCTTGGACCTTCATTCTTCTCCAGCCACTCCAGTCTCTGCTGTCCTTCAAAGATAGATTTCTTGATTTAAGAAGGACAGTTAAAGTGCCTTGGAGATGTACCTCTGCTTCACAGTTTCTGATCTTTGGCCCCATTGTCATTTGAGACAGGGTCATGTTTCGCTGTGGGGACTGTCCCCTGCATTATAGGACATTGAGCGGCACCTCTGGCCTCCACTCACTAGATACCAGCAGCACCCTTTGGTGGTGACAATCCAAGTGTCTCTAGACATTACCAAATGTCCCCTAGAGGGTGAAAACCACTGCCAGTTGAGAACCACTGGTTTATTTCTAGCAACCCTACTATTTTCTTGGTAAAAGAAGTTCCTAATAACTAACCCTTATCTAGTGTTTACCAGGTGCAGACACTGTTCAAAAACATAGCATCTCTCAACTCATTTAGTCTCTCCAAAACTCTGCGGGTCCATTACTGCCCCATTCTCAGTGGGGAAACTGAGGCAGGGGTGACAAAGTGATTTTCCCAAGGTAATGCAGTCGGTGAATGGTGGGGTTGGGATTCAAACCAGGTCCTTTGGCTCCAGGACCTGCTTTTTGTGCAAGTACTTCCCAAGGATCTGGAATCTATCAGACTGGACTCTTTTTAATTCTTTCCATCTTCAAAGCTACAAGGGATTGTTGAGGAATTCGAGTCACTTCTCACCAATAAGACTCTATGGGAAATGAGAGAGAAGAGAGAAATTGCATCCAGAGTGACATCTGTTCTCCAGGAGGTGGAAGGGAATGTTCTAAAAACTGCCTTGAACTCCCCAGAGCAAAAAATCCAGAAAGTCCAAAATAGTGCTGTAGGTAAGTAGACAGTTCCGCCTGATACACACCAGGGGGCCAGTTACAAGCTGGGGGATGGATTAAGCAATTACAAAAATAAATAAATACACTGCATGTGTCCATTTATATGAAATCTACTGTAGAAAATCCATTTCTATGAAGTTGACTCTAGAAAATGCAAACTAATCTATAGTGACAGGGAGAGATGAAAAGGGGGCATGAGAAAACTTGGGGGAGCTGTTTCTACATATTTTTAAAATAAAAATACCTTTATTATACTTGTGTCACACCTGATTGTGATATAGCCACATGAGGAGGTAATATGTCAATCATCACAGTAAGTCATATAGCTTGACTATAATGTCACTCCACAGTGTAGATGTGTGTCATGTCATCATACTACACACCTTAAATACATACTCTTTTTATTTTAAAAAGAAAATACATAATATGATACCAAAGCAAAACCAAGTATTAAAATGTTCTAATGAGAAAAAAAAATCACATAAACAAAGCTAAATTCAGACCAGCCACATCTTCCCACAACCCAGCCTTCTAATCCTATGCCATGTTTGATAAAGAGACACACATTTGTTCTGTGTGTTATATTTTACACACAGTTTTCATTCACTAGATCATTAACATCTTTCCATGTAAACTGTGTACATCATAATTATCTATAATTATTGTCATGATTGCTATAATTATTGTCTTCAGTGGATTGTAGAGTTATAGTATATATATATATATATATAATGTATTCATACTGTATGTTCATTTATTCTATAATTTATTTATTTCCCTATTCTGGGAAATGTGGGTTGTTACCAAATAATGCTGTGATAAGGACAGTTGACATTTTTTTCTGTGAATACTTGTTTGATATTTTTCTTAGAATAAATTCATAGAAGAGGACTCATTAGGTCAAGGGGGGAAATATTCTATAGACTTTGGATGTTTATCACTGTACTGGCCTCCAGAAATGCTGTTTGCTGTGCTTTTTGTTCAGCTCAGGGAGATCAAAGGATTTGTGTATGCCCAACTAACCATTTTGATTTACCAACCTGCATGATGAAATACTTTATGTGCTCCAAAAATAGTAATTTTCTAAAAATTTGAGGTAAAATAAATCCCAGTGCCTATCCTTCCTGGGAAATGGGAATCTGGATGCTGTCGTTCAAAATTAACCAATTTCCAGTTTTTGGGTAATTCTCATCTCTCCTGATTTGGCCAGGTCCCAGTTATTTGATTGGTGACTGGTGTCCCCACTTCAGGGGGTTCCAGCCTTCTCATCTGTAAATGAGGATAATAATAATGCATATAATGCCTTTAGAACTAGAGCTGGTAATTGCTACGATTATTCTATTTTCCACTCTTTATTGTTATAAAATTTTAAATAGTATCATTCTCTTCATATTCCTATCTACTTGACTTGTAGTAGCATCATTCTTTGTGTTATTTTGTCCCTTGCTTTTTTTAAAACCTTTTTTAGCCCGTACCGAAGGAGACCCAGTAAGAGCCCTTTTGCACCCATCACCCAGCTTCAAAAATTTCTAACTTGTGGCCAGTCTCATGCCATTTGCTTTTTAAGCTAAATATTTTCCTAATTCTTATTTCCCAATCATGATTATTCCCTGACTTCGTTTTATTGGAAGCACGGCTCCCTATTCTAGAAACACGCCATCAATTATTGAATCAATTCCTTCTAGTTGAACATTTAGGTCATTTTGTATTTTTCACCATTATCATCTAAACTGCTATGAACTTTCTTGTAGCTAAATCAGCACTCTTCTCCATGACGGTTTTTTGAGAATAAATTCATAGAAAAGGAATTGTTGCTTCAAAGGTAATACACTTGACGGTGGCAGTTAAGAACTTGGATTTCAGGAGTTCAGAATCTTAACTTCAAAATTTCAGTTTCCTCATCTAGATAATGGCCCCTCATGGGGTTATATAACGACAAATTAGGCTCTTAGCCCAGTGCTTGGCACATCCCAGACATTCTGTAAATGTGACCTATTCGTGTGGCTGTGCACATTTTGAAAGCTTACAGTCATGCTAAGCTTTCCTGTTGCTCTCCTCACCAGCTGTTGAAACTCGAGTTGTTACAGACAATTGCTCTGAGGGAGAAAAGATCTTCAACTTGGGCACCCAGATGAACTCAGTGAACATCCAGTGCAATGACGTCGTCCAGGGAAACATACAAGGTACACGTGGGGGCTGCATTCAGGATCCCCAAGGCACACAGAGCAGTATCACTGTGTGAAACATCCTCGGTATTGGATTTGTTACTCTTAAGACTATGTCATTTGAGCCTTCTCCTTTAAAAAAAAAAAGTCCTCTTTCCAAAGTGGAGACTTTCTTTTCTTCAGCATGAAAGAGACCTCTTTGCAATTTGGGGGGTGTTCTTTTCAGGTTTCAGGTTGGGTTCACCCAGAAGCAATCCCTGGAGTGTAAGGAGTTCATCTGGGAGGTGTCCCAGGAAGCTTCTGTAGGGTAAGCCAGGATTCTTCAGAGAAACAGAACCAGTAGTCTGTTTGTGTTTAGAAAGAGGCAGAGACAAAGATTTTGAAGAATGAGCTCATGAGATTGTAGAGGGTAGCAAGTCTAAATTCTAGCCAGCAGGCTGGAGACCCGGGGAAGAGTTGATGTTCTAAGTCCAGTCCAAAGACAGTAGAGACAGAATTCCCACTTTTGCAGGAGCAAGCAGACTTTTTATTAAGGCATTCAACTGGTTAGATGAAGCCCACGCACATGGTGGAGGGTCATCTGCTTTACTCAGTCTAATGATTCAGTTGCTAATCTCATCTAAAAAATAACTTCACAGCCACATCCAGGAGAGTGTTTGACCCAATATCTCGGTACCATGATCTAGCCACATTGACACATAAAATTCATTATCCCAGTAGGGGAGAGAGGAAATGAGATAGGAAAGAGGGTCCAGCCAATGCAGGCATTGTCTGTGAGCAGGTTCCTGCTGGTGATAACTGCATGCTAAATCCCACCGAGTTATCCCATTCCAGGAGAGGAAGCTGGGCTGTTTCTCCACCTGCTCTAATCCATCCCTAGTTGAGGGCCTTTCAAAGGGGGTTAACTTCCAGCCCCTTACAGTCTGCTTTGTGTAGAGATCAAATACATTCACTTTGGGGAAAGTCCCCAGAGAATCACAGCTGTTTGCAATAGAAGACACGTAATGACTCTACAGCGTCTTACTAACTACGCTGAGAGTGATTACAGTGTGAGAGGGGGGACTTGATAATATGGGTGAGTGTTGAGACCACCGTGTTGCTCATGTGAAACCTTCATAAGATTATATATCAATGATACCTTAATTTAAACAATTAATTAATTTTTAAAAATGGGTGTCTACAGCATCCGCGACAGATGCTATACATAGGAACAAATTATTACTATTCATTATCCCAGAGTCACCAGACTTTCTGATTTTTTTAAAGCAAAACTTGGGTCATTTGCATGAAAACTCCAATATCCAAATTTGGCAAGAGTACCTTTACTCTAACTGCCACATAGTTGTAACTGCTGTTGCACCATAAATGGGGTCTTAAAATCCTGGCACAAAAACATCAGGTACAGCTGGTCTGTTCTATCACCAGAAGTCCCAAAGTAATGACAATAGAGTGTAGACAACTGACCACATGCTGAATGGAGCATGAATCTCATAAGGCAATTGGTGCCTATCATTTCCTTTTCTCCCCAAGAAGATTAGAACTTAAATCGGCCTCCCTTTGAGAACGGTCTGGGTTAGGATGGGACAAGCCCCAACCACATGGTTCCATGCCCGCACTGTCACCAGGCTCTTCCGTGACCCAAAGAGAGAGGGAGCAAGATGTCATGTGCAGGCCAATCAAAACACATCTGCAGCCCAGTTTGCTACTCGGTCATGTTCTGGGGGCAGGGCGTTAGGATTTTAATATGAATTTAGAGAGGACACAGCCTGGCCCAGAAGAGCTGTCTATGCAGAATTGTTTAAGTAAGTTACAGACATCACAATATGATTACATGTGGCTTGAGGAGTGCCTGGCCTGGAAGTGCCCGCCTGGGAGAGGACTACTGACCCTGCCCTAATGGGCCCTGCAGGCTCACCTCCAAGCATTTGCATTGCCTTTTTCTTTTCTTTCTTTTTTTTTTTTTAACAAATTGGCACATTTATTTCCCAATTTGTGAAAATGTCCTTAATTTGTTCCTGTAGCAGACAAATTTCAACTCTGTTTGTGGTGCAAAAAAAATGCCAGGAATGCCAACCCCACTCCTCTGGGTGAACTTTTACTGTTCTTTCAACACAGCTCACCTTTACCTTCTCCAGGATGTCTCCCAGGATTGCCCACTTCCATGACAGCACCAGTCGGGCCTCCTTCCTCTCTGCTCACCCAGCATCCTGACCCTCCCTTGACCTGACATCCAACGTGTTGTGTTGTATCTATTGATTGACATGTCCCTGACTTACCCACTGTACTGGAATCCCCTTAAGGGCAGAAACCACAAATTCTTTTTCCCTCTAGTCACCATTACGGGCACAGAACCTGGAGAACAGTGGCAAATGCTCATTGAATTAAGTCCACATTTATGTTGAGGCCTCAACATTTCTAATAAGGAATGAACCCATTGGTGGCTTGTGACACCCTCGTAGAGGGACATTTCTCCTTCCTTCGGGTTATTTCTAGGGCCAGATCATTCTTTGTCATGGGGGTCATCCTGTGTCCCATAAGATGTTGAACGGCATCCCTGGCCCTTACCCGCTAGATGCCAGTAGCAACTCCCCCCAAGTTGTAACAACCAAAAATGCCTCTCTCTAGTCACTCTTCAGTGTCTAGGAGTCTATTGCTATTTGTTCATTTTGTTTTGTTTTGTTTTTATTTTTATTCTTATTGAAGTATAGTTGAGATACAATATTATATCGGTTTCAGATATACACATAGTGATTCAACAGTTGTCTACATTATTAAATGCAAACCCCAGCTAGTGCAGTTACTATCTGTCAACAAAGAAAGGTGTAACAGAACTATTGACTATATTCTCTGCTATACTTTCATCCTCATGACTAATTTATATTATGATAGAGATTTTGTGCCTTTTTGTCCCCTTTCACTTGTTTCACCCGCCCGCCCCAGCCCCTCCCCCATGGCAACCCCAGTCACTTCTCAGTGTCTGTGAGTCCACTGCTGTTTTTTTCATTTTGTTTGGTTTTGTTCCTAGATTCCAAATATAAATGAAATCAAATGGTATTTGTTTTTCTGCACCTGGCTTATTTCCCTTAATATAATCCCCTCTATGTGCATCCATGTTGTTGCAAATGGCAGAATTGCTTTCTTTTTTATAGCTGAATAATAGTCCATTGTCTATAGGTACCACAACTTTACCACCATGTGTCCTGAACAAGCAAAATCACCCCAGTTGAAAGCCACTGGTCCAGAGCAATCATAATTTATCTCTAAACACTAACAGTTTTAATACTGAATGGGTACATTATTAAATCACACCAGGATACCAGGTGTGAACCTCCACTGTGGTAGGTGACCAGAGATATTTAATCATATGACCCCCGCTTCCTCTAGAACAGCTCAGAACAAACCCAAGCCACAGACACCGACCTTGGAAACCTGGAAAGCCACTCTTCTCATTTCTGCTTGTGATTTTGCTTTTACACCAGAACATTTCAAGCCAAAATTAAATGATTTCTAAGCATAAGAGCAGGTGAATGTATCATCTGCTGAACTTTTCCAACCATCTGCACTGTTTCATTCTGATGCATGGAAACTGCCATGAACTCAGAGAAACAGAAGTAAATTTCCCCTTATCCCTCTGAGCGAGGGCAGAGAGGCCAGATTAGAGAAGCCCGCTGAGTAATTTATTCCAATATAATGAACTGCTCAGCTAGTAAGGGGCAGAGCTGGAAATTGAATCCAGAAACCTAGTTCTGGTCCCTACATATTAACTGCTTGCTTCACATGGCCTTGTTGCCGTGTGGACTTCTCAGTAGCTACAAAGAATAATGAATACTTACTGGCATGGGAATATGCTCATAACATACTAATATATGTGATAATATGAACATATTCCCATGTCAGTAAGTATTCACATATATGAAAATTTATTAATTTACATGTGTTATTGACATGGGAGTATGCGTGTGCATGCGTGCGTGTGTGTGTGTGTGTGTGTGTGTGTGTGTGTGCATTAGTTTGCTAGGGTTGCCATACAAAATACCAGACTAGGCGGCGGTTTAAACGAGAGGAAACTCGGTCATGTTCTGGGGGCAGGGCGTTAGGATTTTAATATGAATTTAGAGAGGACACAGCCTGGCCCAGAAGAGCTGTCTATGCAGAATTGTTTAAGTAAGTTACAGACATCACAATATGAGTACATGTGGCTTGAGGAGTGCCTGGCCTGGAAGTGCCCGCCTGGGAGAGGACTACTGACCCTGCCCTAATGGGCCCTGCAGGCTCACCTCCAAGCATTTGCATTGCCTTTTTCTTTTCTTTCTTTTTTTTTTTTTAACAAATTGGCACATTTATTTCCCAATTTGTGAAAATGTCCTTAATTTGTTCCTGTAGCAGACAAATTTCAACTCTGTTTGTGGTGCAAAAAAAATGCCAGGAATGCCAACCCCACTCCTCTGGGTGAACTTTTACTGTTCTTTCAACACAGCTCACCTTTACCTTCTCCAGGATGTCTCCCAGGATTGCCCACTTCCATGACAGCACCAGTCGGGCCTCCTTCCTCTCTGCTCACCCAGCATCCTGACCCTCCCTTGACCTGACATCCAACGTGTTGTGTTGTATCTATTGATTGACATGTCCCTGACTTACCCACTGTACTGGAATCCCCTTAAGGGCAGAAACCACAAATTCTTTTTCCCTCTAGTCACCATTACGGGCACAGAACCTGGAGAACAGTGGCAAATGCTCATTGAATTAAGTCCACATTTATGTTGAGGCCTCAACATTTCTAATAAGGAATGAACCCATTGGTGGCTTGTGACACCCTCGTAGAGGGACATTTCTCCTTCCTTCGGGTTATTTCTAGGGCCAGATCATTCTTTGTCATGGGGGTCATCCTGTGTCCCATAAGATGTTGAACGGCATCCCTGGCCCTTACCCGCTAGATGCCAGTAGCAACTCCCCCCAAGTTGTAACAACCAAAAATGCCTCTCTCTAGTCACTCTTCAGTGTCTAGGAGTCTATTGCTATTTGTTCATTTTGTTTTGTTTTGTTTTTATTTTTATTCTTATTGAAGTATAGTTGAGATACAATATTATATCGGTTTCAGATATACACATAGTGATTCAACAGTTGTCTACATTATTAAATGCAAACCCCAGCTAGTGCAGTTACTATCTGTCAACAAAGAAAGGTGTAACAGAACTATTGACTATATTCTCTGCTATACTTTCATCCTCATGACTAATTTATATTATGATAGAGATTTTGTGCCTTTTTGTCCCCTTTCACTTGTTTCACCCGCCCGCCCCAGCCCCTCCCCCATGGCAACCCCAGTCACTTCTCAGTGTCTGTGAGTCCACTGCTGTTTTTTTCATTTTGTTTGGTTTTGTTCCTAGATTCCAAATATAAATGAAATCAAATGGTATTTGTTTTTCTGCACCTGGCTTATTTCCCTTAATATAATCCCCTCTATGTGCATCCATGTTGTTGCAAATGGCAGAATTGCTTTCTTTTTTATAGCTGAATAATAGTCCATTGTCTATAGGTACCACAACTTTACCACCATGTGTCCTGAACAAGCAAAATCACCCCAGTTGAAAGCCACTGGTCCAGAGCAATCATAATTTATCTCTAAACACTAACAGTTTTAATACTGAATGGGTACATTATTAAATCACACCAGGATACCAGGTGTGAACCTCCACTGTGGTAGGTGACCAGAGATATTTAATCATATGACCCCCGCTTCCTCTAGAACAGCTCAGAACAAACCCAAGCCACAGACACCGACCTTGGAAACCTGGAAAGCCACTCTTCTCATTTCTGCTTGTGATTTTGCTTTTACACCAGAACATTTCAAGCCAAAATTAAATGATTTCTAAGCATAAGAGCAGGTGAATGTATCATCTGCTGAACTTTTCCAACCATCTGCACTGTTTCATTCTGATGCATGGAAACTGCCATGAACTCAGAGAAACAGAAGTAAATTTCCCCTTATCCCTCTGAGCGAGGGCAGAGAGGCCAGATTAGAGAAGCCCGCTGAGTAATTTATTCCAATATAATGAACTGCTCAGCTAGTAAGGGGCAGAGCTGGAAATTGAATCCAGAAACCTAGTTCTGGTCCCTACATATTAACTGCTTGCTTCACATGGCCTTGTTGCCGTGTGGACTTCTCAGTAGCTACAAAGAATAATGAATACTTACTGGCATGGGAATATGCTCGTAACATACTAATATATGTGATAATATGAACATATTCCCATGTCAGTAAGTATTCACATATATGAAAATTTATTAATTTACATGTGTTATTGACATGGGAGTATGCGTGTGCATGCGTGCGTGTGTGTGTGTGTGTGTGTGTGTGTGTGTGTGCATTAGTTTGCTAGGGTTGCCATACAAAATACCAGACTAGGCGGCGGTTTAAACGAGAGGAATTTGTTTTCTCACAATTCTGGAGGCTGGAATCCTGAGATCAAGATGTTGGCAGGCAGTTTGTTAGGCCTCTGTCCTTGACTTGCAGATGGCCTGCCATCTCCCTGCGTTTTCATATGGTCTTTTCCCTAAGCACACCCATCCCTGGCCTCTCTTTTGGTCCAAATTTCCTCTTATAAAGACACCAGTCAGACTGGATTAAGGCCCACCCTCATGGACTCATCTTAATTTAATCACTTCTTTAAAGGTTCTGTCTTCAAACACTGTCCCATTCTGAAGTCCTGAGGGTGAGGATTTCAACATACGAGTTTTGGGAGGATACAATTCCACACATAATAATGTCCTATTGATACACATCATATAATGTCTTATTGAAAGGTAATAAGATTACAAATATATGATGTAGCTGTATCATCATACATTTTTTATTTAATCCTCATCATTTTTATGTCATTTATATCATGTCATTATGAAATCATATGTTTTAACCTTAATCCTCATGAAGTATGTTGAATTATGATGTTCACTTGCTTAAAACCTTTCAATGGCTTTCTACGGGCTTAAATAGAAGCGGAAGTCCTACCTGAGGCCCGTGCCCCCGTCTTGCCCCGCCTCCTCTCCTGCCCCTCCCCTCCACTCACTGTGCTTCAGCCACACTGGCCTCCTTGCTGTTCCCTGAACAAGTCGGGCCCAGTGACGCCTGGGACTTCGCACCTGCTGTTACCTCTGCCTCCAGCACTCCTCTCTCAGAAATCCACATGCCCCCTCCTCCCCTCACTGCTCTCTGAACACTGTCTAAAACAGCAACCCCCAGCTCTCTTCATCCTCTTACCCGACTTAATTTTCTCCATAGGACTGATGATTCTCTGATATACACCTTCATTTATCTATTTGTATTTGTTTGTCTGTCTCCTGCACCAGAAAGTAAGATCCACACAAGCGTAAACTTGGTATATTTTGTTCCCACTGGATCTGGAAAAGAGTCTGGAACATAGTCAGCATTCCATTTAAAAAAGGAGGTGGAATGAATGGATGGATAGAGATAGAGAGGTGGCAGATGATTGATAGATGGATAATGATTTCCATGTATGTTATTTATATCTAGATATGGATTGCATATATAATACATAAAGGAAACTATTAGATACAAACATACATGTTGACAGAGACACATGTAGTCCAACTATGAAGGGGTTTCCTTGGGTCTAGTGTCAATATTATGTTTCATCCCGAAGGAATGCAAAACCAGTTCTAAAAGCCTTGAGAAATGTCGTTCTTTACTGAAGTCTGTTCAAAAGGCAGCAGCAGAAGTGGCATTAAATCACACAAAATTTGCCTAATCCCTTTTACTTCCTTTTTCTTCGTTAAGGCTGACCCAACCTGTCCCCTCTCTTCCTCCCATAAAATTTCACCTGCCGTTTCTTTGCTCCCCCTCCATTGATATTATTTTATCCTAGGGTACAGCCATTTCCTTTCATACATAAATTAGCATGACGTTTCTTGTTGTTTCAGCTCTCCTTACCCTGTTCAATATAAAAAGAGTTCAAGGTTTTCAGTCTGCTTCAGAACGTTAGAAAAGGTGAAAATCTCTTATTTAATTCACCCCCTCATTTGTGTGAATATTTGTGCATACATACATGTGTGTACACATATTTGTTTGTATGTGCACATGTATACATGTGTGTGTTTATCCATACATATATATCATTTCAGAAAGGTAACTAATGACTCTCAGGCAAATATAAATGAATGCATGTCAAAGATCATATTCACCTCATTAAAGAAGGAACAAATAAAACTAGTTAAGACAAACTTAAAGGCAATTTGAAGAACAGATATACACACACATGAACATATTCATATATGGGACAGTCATGAATGCTGAAAACTATATGCTAACAGATGCAAACACTGGTTAATATCCTATAGGGCAACACAACGTAGCATTTAAGGTTATGTTTACTATGCGTCAGAAAGCAACTGCCTATCGCCAAAATGCAATTGTGCCTATGGAAAGAGCCATTTGCACTATTATGGGCATCCATTTATGGGCTACAATGTTGTACATCTGAAACCGAGATAATATTGCATATTGACTATATTTCAATTTTTTTAAGTATTAACTGGAGTGATAAAAGAAAGTTGCAAAAGGATTCTCAAATTGGGATACCATTTACATGAACTTATAGACACAGAAAATACTACAATTTTTGAAAACATTCATATATAGTAAAATTACAAAAGTATTCATGCAAAGGCTACAATGTCAAGTCCATTGTTATTTCTCAAGAAGGAAGAAAGAGAATGAATTAGAGGGAGCTTTAGTCATACTGAAAACATTTTATTCTTTAAAAAATAATTCTGGAGCCAATGTGGCAAAATGATAATGTACATTAAATCTGGGAGTAGATGTTCTTTAGGTCTTTTTCTTTACTTTCCTGAGTATTTGAAATATAAGTTTAAGGTTTTGTGTTTTTTTTGAGATGATGTTTTAAAAGAATTCGCTATTGACCGCAGGCTTAGCACTGGGCTGGGAGCCCTGTGGTCTCCAAATTAAATATCCTGTAGAGTCACTCAAGAAGTTTAGTGCATGCTGGAAAAATAGAATTCAAGCCACAGAAATAATAATTGGCAGACCGTTGGATTCTCATCGACACAACAGGGGCCGCATTTGAAATACAAGTTTGGAAAAAACAGCATCAGAAGCTGCCTGAGTAGCTGGGGGAGATTTCCCAAGTCAGAGGCTGGGATTGTGCTGGGTTTGAGGATGTGCTGGATTTGGGGACGAAGAGCATGAGAGGAAGGGTGGGTTTCTAAAACACACCTGAGCACAGGTGTGGGCAGGAAAGGGGACCAAAAAATGGTGGTACTTCATCTTTCTGTTTCCGCAGGTCCCAGCGCAGTTGCCTTTATTTCATACTCTTCTCTTGGCAACATCATAAATGCAACTTTTTTTGAAGAGATGAATGAGAAAGACAGAGTTTACCTGGTCTCCCAGGTAGTGAGCGCTGCCCTTGGACCCAAAAGGAACACATCTCTATCCAACCCTGTGACTCTGTGTTTTCAGCATGTGAAGGTGGGTCATGGCTGCAATTTGAACTCGCTTTAGTTTCGTGGAGGTAGATTGAACAATCCGCATTCCCTCCCCAACCTCTGGTTCTTGACTGGGGTTTACCCGTACAGTTGGCAGGAGCCACTTGTAGCTATTGGAAATGTGGTGAGTCTGAATTGAAATTTTTGAAGTCAGTATTTTTAGATGTAGATATAGTATTTCCAGACTTCAAAGACTTAGTAAGAAAAAAAGCATGTAAAATATCTCACTAATAATTTTATATTGACTACATATGTTGATTTATGTTGAATATTAAACGGTACATTTTGAATATAGTGGATTAGAGTAAATATGCTATTAAAGGTAATTTGACCTGTTTACGTTTTTTAATGTAGCTAGGAGAAACTTTCAATTCTGTAAGTGGTCCACATGATATTTTTCTTGGGTGACATTATTCTGGTGCATGGGATTATTGTAGCTGCACATATCTCCTACATCTGTGAGACATAATATTCATTCCTGCACAAAAGCCTGGTATTAATTATTTAGACCACAGAACTGTATCAGAAAAAATACTTTTCTTTAATCTATTGCCTTTTCCCATTCTCTGCCCAAACTCTTAAAGGCAAGAGGGTCAGTAGCCATACATAGATGTAATAAAACTCATTTGCTCCCATCCCTTTCAGCTCTGTTAAGAAAATAGGAATTGAATGAAATCATGCCATTAGCCACAACATGGATAGACCTAGAGGGTATTGCACTAAGTGAATGAAGTCAGACAGAGAAAGACAAGTACTGTATGATCTCACTTATATATGAAATCTAAAACCTATACAAAAAAACAAAAAAACAAATTCATACATACAGAGAACAGATTGGTGGCTGCTAGGGACATGAGATAGGGAAATAGGTGAAGGTGGTCAAAGGTCAACAAACTTCGACTTACAAGAAGAGTAGTTCTGGGGATCTAGGGCACAACATAATAATTCTAGTTAGAATTCTGTGTTGCACATTTGAAAGTTGCCAAGAGAGTAGATTTGAAAAGTTTGCACCACAAAATAAAAATCTGGGACCATGCAAGGTAAAGTATGTTAACTAACCTCATTATGGTAACCCCTCTGTAATATGCACACATATAAAACAATTATGTTGTAGCCCTTAAACTTATCCAGTGTTATATGTCAATTATATTACCATCAATATATGTCCATTAATTATGTAGACCACACAACTAATAATATTTATTATTATTTAGACCTCAACAATTATGTAGACCACAATAAAGCTGGAAAAAAGTACTTTTTTTTAATTTTTAAAGAAAAATAGGAGTTAAGGAGGGGAAGGTGGGGAAATGTAGGTTTTCGCTATGTGATGCATAAAACCCAGGTATGGAATTTGGGGTGCATGGCATGGGGCATTGAGAATGAAGCACAGATTCTTGGGGTGGGTCAGTGGATTATGAAAGGAGATACAGCCCCTAACAGGCTCATCTCCTTGGCCCCAGGAAGTGATGCTCTGGAACCCTTGGGACAAAGAGAAGAAGTCAATGGCTAATTTTAGTCTCTTTCTCTCTCCTGGTGGCATTTCTTTCCTACACTACCTCTCCTGTTACTTGAGCAATTATTGCATTTTAAAGGGTTAGGGACAGAACTGGTGGGAAGGGCCCAAGGAAATTCGGCCTAGAGCATATTTGGGAGAACATTTTGTACGAGCCTTAGACTTTTTTTTTGTCTGACTCCCATGGTTGGCGGCAACGCCCTGAAACAAATGGCGTCTTGTTATACTTCTGGCTCCCAGAGAGCCTTGACCTCATTTTACATTATTCAGAATCTCAATAAATTCTGAATATGGGAGCCGGTGTCCCAGCGGCCATCCTTTTCCCTCAAAACAGAAAATCGCCTGAGTCGCTCCCGGCCTCTGCGCCTCCTCATTCGCCACCCTGGCGCAGACCGACACTCTGAGGGTTGTCCCTTCCCAGGAAGAACATGATGAGCCCATTCTACTTCCAGATGAAGCCCGGTAGCCAAAAGCCCTTCTGCGTTTACTGGAAAACCACAGAGGAGGGCGGCCACTGGTCCAGGGATGGCTGTTTCCTGATACGCGCAAACAAAAGTCACACCGTATGCAGCTCCACCCACCTGTCCAGTTTCGCCGTCCTCATGGCCTTAACCCTCCAGGTACGACGTAAACATTTAGTTCCTCCAGCTAATCCTGTTTGAGCCCCTACAAGGTGATGATAAAAAGTGTGAAGAGAAAGAAAGCAGAATGGCTCACCAGAGCAACTGCAGAAGTCATGCTGCTTTAGATAGAAAAGTCACAGGTGGCCCTTATAAGAATTAAACATCTGAGCAGCAATCTGAATAATTAGTCAGTAGCGCTGCAACATGGGTGACCCTTGAAAACACCATGCTGAATGCAAGAAGCCGAACACAGAGGGCCACTGTTGTACGATTCCATTTATAGGAAACGTCCAGAATAGGCAAACCCAAAGAGTCAGAAAGGAGATTGCCGGTTGCCAGGGGCTGGGGGAGGGGGGGAAAGAGAGGGTAAGGGCTTAATGGGTGTGGGGTTTATTTTGGGGTGATGGGAATGTTCTGGAACTAGATAGAGCTGGTGATTAGGCAACACTGTGAATGTGCTAAATGCCAATGGATTGCATACTTTTAAATGGTTAATTTTATATTAGTTTGAGGTTAACCCAATTTTAAAAAGTCAGCAAGAAAAGCATCCCAAGAAGACAGATGTGTATGTGTAAAAACCCTGAAGAGAGAACAAACTTGGTGTTTTCTGGAACCAAGTGTGGCTGGAGCAGAGTGGATGACGGGCAAACAGGAGATGAGGTTGCAGAGATGGCTGCAGGGAAAATGTGTCGGACCTGGAACGCCAGGCTCAGGCCTTTAGATTTCATCTGAATTGCAATGGGAAGATATTTGCATGAGGGATGCTGCATAATTATATCATTTGAAGATCCCTCTGGCTCCTGGGTCAAGAATGGATAGTGACGAAGTAAGAATGGGCTAGATGATGGTAGCTGAGGTGAGGTGGCAGCCATAGAGGTGGGAGAGAACATCAGACTGGACAGATCCTAGAAGTGGGGTCAGAGGACACACTGATGACATAGGCTGGGGACAGCACGCAGGAAGTCCTGCATCCCACCCCTTCTCTCAAGGATGGAGGTGGTGCCCACAGAAAAACGTTTGGTGGAAATCTCTGACCTCTCCAATTACACGGTTTATGAAAATTCATCTATGCATGGGACATAGCTTTAGTTCATTTCTTTTCATTGTCATATAATATTCCCTGGCATGAATGTACTTCAGTTTATCCATTCTGCAGTTAATGGATATCTAGGTTGTTTCCTGATAGCTATTAAAAGCAGTGCTACTTTACTGGGATGAAACTTAGACGATCCCATGTGGGATCTTCCAGGGCAACATGCTCCAGGTGCTGCAGCCACAAGATGGTGAAGCCTCTGTTGTTATGGGTTTCTGAGTGACACTGTGGAGCAAAGTATTGTCCTGCTATATTAAGTTTAAAAATAGACACAACTAGGCTATATTCTCAGGGGTTGCACACACAGGTGGTCAAACTATAAAGAAAAGCAGGAATGGGGAGGATGGGTGGGAAGGGAGGGATAAGGAGGAAAAAGGGGCATTACGATTAGCACACATAATGTAACCTGGGTAGGGGGGACACAGGAAAGGCAGTATATACAGAGAAGACAAGTAATGATTCTATAGCATCTTACTATGCTGATGGACAGTCACTGTAGTGGGGTATGTGGGGGGGACTTGATAATAGGGGTAGTCTAGTAACTGTAATGTTCAAGTAATTGTACATTATATTGAATGAATGAATGAGTGAATGCATGAGTGAGTGAATGATGAATGAATGAGTGAATGAGTGAATGAATGAGTGAATGAGTGAATGAATGAATGCATGAATGAGTGAATGGATAAATGAATGAGGGAATGAGTGAATGAATGAGTAATGAATGAGGGAATGAATTAAGGAATGAGTGAATGAGGGATGAGTGAATGAATAAATGAATGAATGAGGGAATGAACAAATGAATGAGTAAATGGATGGATGGATGGATGAATGAGGGAATGAGGGAATGAATGAATGAGGGAATGAGTGAATGAATGAATGAATGAATGAATTTAACAAATAAATAGCTAGCAGGAATTGTTTATCATAAAAGAACCATGGTTACCTCTGGGGGAGATCATGGCTTGCAATTGGAAAGAGCTTCTGGGATGAAGTCCATAGATCAGTTCTTGATATTGCTAATCATTTAGTAATTATCAATCAAATAATACATTTATGTGTATGCCCTTTTCTGTATGTGTGTTATATTTCAGTATGTTTTAAGATTAAAAAAGCAAAGGATTGAAAAGTTCTCTAAAGTGACATTGAAATAAGTGAATATCTGTCATTTCCCCTTAGTGAGTCTTTCTAAGTCTGCATGGCTCCCCAGATCAATGGCCCCTATCTTTCATGAGAAGGGTCCCTGAGACGTGAATTAGACAGAGTGTCTTAGTTTGGGGCCCCCTGCAAGCAGATCCTGAGACAAGGATTGAGGGCAGACAGTAGTTCCCCTGGGAGGTGACCCCTCCCAGTAGGGAAGTGAGACAGAGGAGGCAGCCAGGAAAGGATGCATTAAAGAGAAAGTTATCCCTGTGGACAGCTGGGGCTCAATCCCATTGGGTATTTCTGGGAGATATCATAGGATGTACACCTCAGAGCCATCACACACAAGGGTGAGGGAGCTTGGGTATTGATGTACCAATTCCCCAGTGTGCTTATTTGAGGGCAGCTTGCAGGGGCCATAATGTCCTGGCACTTGTGACTGTCTGACATGTGGCAGGAGAAATGCCTCTAGGCAGGATCACTGGAGTTCACAGAAAGCAGCCAAAGGACAGGCATAGGAGAGTGTGAGGAGGTTAACAGCCTCTGCTACACAGGGCTTCCTACATCTTTTAGGGTGTAAGACTTAGCCTGGCATGTCCACTCATTTCAGCTCAAATCTGCTGTACAACAATAAGGTGTTGAGCACTTAAAAACTTAAGAGGGTAGATCTCACATTGTGTTCTCACCACAAAAAGAAAAGGCAAGGGGATCCAAGAAATCTTCAGGAGGTGATGGATATGTTTACTCTCTTGATTGCGGTGATGACATCATGGACATAGGCCTATGTTCAGACTCATGAAAATGTACACATTCAATATATGCAACATTTTGTATATATACCTAATATACAAAATTGTGTATTAGTATACCTCAATAAAGCTGAAAAAAATGCTTAGTTTAACACAGACTTCTCATACTCTATCATCCGGCATCGTGCCTGTGTTTGGGGTACCCCATTCCATGGGGGAAATACACAGTTCCAGAGCGGGAAAGTGTGACTATGATGTCCTCTTCGCTGGGTCGCAGGAGGAGGATCCCGTGCTCACTGTGATCACCTATGCGGGGCTGAGCCTGTCTCTGCTGTGCCTCCTCCTGGCGGCCCTCACCTTCCTGCTGTGCAAAGCCATCCAGAGCACCAGCACCTCCCTGCACCTGCATCTCTCCCTCTGCCTCTTCCTGGCCCACCTGCTCTTCCTCACGGCCATTGACCGAACCAAGCCCAAGGTACCGATGCTTTGCCGAAGGGCCCCTTGCCCTGCCACATGGAGGGCTGAGTAATGGGGCCATGTTGCATTGATGCCTTAATAAAATGTCCTTGGATCCCAGGGGGGTTTGGGGAGAGGTGCCAAGGTGGGTGGTGCTATTGACTATCAACCACTTTTACTTTTGATGACCTTGATCCAGCATCAGGTGCTCTGAATTCAATGCCAATGTAAAGTAGAGGTCCTCAGGCCATGCCCCGCCCTGCCAGTCCCACCTGGTGAGCCCTTACTCCTCCCCCAGGTGCTGTGCGCCATCATCGCGGGGGCCTTACACTATCTCTACCTGGCCTCCTTCACCTGGATGCTGCTGGAGGGTCTACACCTCTTCCTCACAGCACGCAACCTGACGGTGGTCAACTACTCCAGCATGAGCAGCTTCATGAAGTGGCTTGTGTTCCCTGTGGGCTACGGGCTCCCGGCTGTGATCGTGGCCATTTCTGCAGCGTCCAGGCCGCACCTTTATGGAACACCTGAGCGGTGAGCTTGACTCTCGTGCTGTGCCATGGATGGTTCTGAGGGCAGTGTTAACAGTGATGATTAGGATATTCACCTCAAACGCACTCTACCTTCCTATGAGTGTCACAGCTCTAACTTATTTGCCAGAGAAGCACGGGAAGATGACAGCAAGAGTGTGGAAGGTTATGGAAGAAGGGCGCTTTGAAATTAGGCCCCAGTTTTATCCATCCCATGATTTTCGACCTCCAGTCCTCAAGGTTCAGTCCCCTTATTAGTGAAATAGGGATAATGATCTTCCCAGGGGCCCCCTTGCAAAGCAGGTGTGAAAATTCAGAAAGACTCTACTTATAAAATGTTTAATGTAGCATTTATACAGGAGGTAATGAGCAAAGCCTTCACTGTCATCCACTGACATTCTCAGGAGACACCAGGAAAGTTCTGTCAGGAAAAGGTGTCATTTCAGGGTTTTTCTTGGGCATTCTCTGATCTTGCGTTGTGTCCCTTTTCCCGTTGTTCCCAGCTGCTGGCTCAACCTGGACCAGGGGTTCATCTGGGGTTTCCTCGGCCCTGTCTGTGCCATTATCTCTGTGAGTATGTGACTCCAAGGTTCCTGGGGGAAGAAGAGGCACCAGATATTCTGGGGGTGAGACTGTGCAGTGGGCATGCATTTTTTTCAGTTGTACAGCTTGATTTTTTTCCCCTGATACCAATTCAGTCCCATGTGCAGGAACCAGAAGTTGGGTGCAATTGACAGTGGACATTATTTTAACTTGCATTCTGCATGGTCTGTGTCATTCCTGCAGGTGAATTTAGTATTCTTTCTCTTGGTCCTTTGGATTTTGAAAAAGAAACTTTCCTCCCTCAACACTGAAGTGTCAACCATCCAGAATATAAGGTAAGATGGGGAAAATGGTATTTGCCAACCCCTTTTTGTTCTACTTACCTCCTACTGGTCCCTCCTACACAACCACATACATATGCACCACATAATGAGACCCCAGGGACCATCAAGGCCACTGTCATCTCCCACTGTCCCAATTAATGAGAAACTGTATTAGTTAGAGCAGGCTAAGCTGCTGTGACAAAAATAACACCCCCTCAAAAAACAGTGAAATAGAAGTTTATTTCATCTTCTTGTTATAGTCCAAAGATGAGCAGTCCAGGGCTGGTGGGGAAGTTCTGCTCCACAGAATGATCCAAGAACTCAGATTCTTTCTATTTTGTTGCTCCATCATCCACTAAGATGTTCTTGTCAATATCACATCCATGGGAAGGAGTTGACATAGATATTGCACATTCCACATTTGCTCATATCCCATTGACCAGACCTTGGTCACATGGTAACATCTAGCTGCAAGGGAGGCTGGGAAATATAGTCTCCAACTGGGTAGCCATGTGTCCTTGACAAAACTCAGAAAGGGAAGAGATCTAACACTAAAAGGAAAAAAACGAAAATGGAAAAAAGCCAGCAGTTTCTGCCACATGACACAAGATACAAGATAAATTGGGAAGGATTTAGATTAAAATACATTTTGTGTATTATTATTTCAAAACATTTTGGGCTATGAGTGCTTTTTATTTTGCTGCACGCATTTTAATTTTTTTCATTTTTCATTATAAAAATAACATGTTTGTCAACATTTTTTATAAAGTTTTTGAAATATAAAAAGCAAAAAGTGAAAGTAGCTAACTCCCACCTTTCCCAGTACTTCCACTCCCTGGGAAAGCCAGAGATAACAGACTGTATGATATGTATGATATGGTATGTATGGTATTTTCTCCAGACCTTTTTCTGTACATTTCCTATAGAACAGACAGGCACACACACAAAAACATCACACTACACAAATTGTTTCTATCTTTTCTAATTTATGTAATTTTATATTTTAAAATTAGATACAAAGATTCCACAGCTAAGATGGCCTAACATCTCCATTTGTCTAGGACACTCGCAGTTTATGCTTGTTTACCCATTGTAATTATTAACTGGCACCACTTTTCATCTCAGAAGCCTACCTGTTTGAATAATAAATTATATGATACCCCTTTTTCATAAATTATATAGATAGCTAGATAGTGACAGGTTTTAGAATGCTTTATATACATATGGCACTAATTTTGTCCTATATACTGTTCTAAATATTTTATATATGTTGAAGTCTCAATCTTGGCAGCAACCTTATGAAATGGTGCTGTAATGAAGATGAGCAAACTGAGTTACAGAAAGGGAAAGTAACTACCCCAAGGTCACACATTTAGTTGCTGCTGCCTGGGACTTAAACCTAGGCAGCCTAGCTTCAGAGTCCTCACCATTAACAACCACACTATAGAGGTGTCCATGTCCATTATTAGCTTGTTTACGTCATTGTTTCTTACTCCCATCAGGATGCTGACACTCAAAGCAACGGCTCAGCTCTTCATCCTGGGTTGCACATGGTGTCTGGGCATCCTGCAAGTGGGCTCAGGTGCCCAGGTCATGGCCTACCTCTTCACCATTATCAATAGCTTTCAAGGCTTCTTCATTTTCCTGGTCTACTGTCTCCTCAGCCAGCAGGTAAACACTGATCTCTTTCTTTATTGTTGTAAAGTCAAGAAAAACTTGGAGGTATGTAGTTTAACAAACTTTTAAATCCATACTCTCTAAAGTTTCATCTGAACTTGTGAGCAGCGTGTAAGTACTACCTGAATTTTCACTAATTGAAGATGCTGTTAATTGTAAGGAACATCGATTTATTAATGGCTTTCTAAAAGTAAATCATTGCTACATCAAAGAAATGTGTTTTTCTTCAGGTTTCTTATTTGTAATAGTCAGCTATTGCTGTGTAACAATCAACCTCAAAAACTCAATAGCTTAAATTATCAGGGAAATACAAATTAAAACCACAATGAGATATCACCTCATACCAGTTAGGATGGCCAACATCCAAAAGACAAGAAACAACAAATGCTGGTAAGGATACAGAGAAAGGGGAACCCTCCTACACTATTGGTGGGAGTATAAATTACTTTAACCATTGTGGAAAACAATATGGAGGTTCCTCAAAAAACTAAAAATAGAAATACCATTTGACCCAGGAATTCCACTCCTAGGAATTTATCCAAAGAAAACAAGATCCCATATTCAAAAGACATATGCACCCATATATCACAGCACTATTTACAATAGCCAAGATATGGAAGCAACCTAAGTGTCCGTCAGTAGATGAACAGATAAAGAAGATGTGGTACATATACACAATGGAATAGTATTCAGCTATAAAAAGAAAACAAATCCTACCATTTCCAACAACATAGATGGAGCTAGAAGGTATTATGCTCAGTGAAATAGCCAGGTGGAAAAAGACAAGTAACAAGTGATTTCACTCATTTGTGGTGTATAACAACAAAGCAAAACTGAAGGAAAAAACAGCAGCAGACTCACAGACTCTAAGAAGGGACTAGTGGTTACCAAAGGGAATGAGTTGAGGAAGGTGGGCGGGAAGGGAGGTGAGAAGGGGATTAAGGGGCATTATAATTAGCACTCACAATATAGGTAGGTCACGGGGAAGGCAATACAGCACAGAGAAGACAAGTAATGACTCTATAGCATCTTACTACACTGATAAACAGTGATTGCAATGGGTGGGGGGGAACTTGATAATATAGGTGAATGTTGAAACCATAGTACTGCTAATGTGAAACCTTCATGAGATTGTATATCAGTGATACCTTAATTTTTAAAAAACCCAGTAGCTTAAACACAAATATTTACTTTTCTCATTCTCAAGTCTGCAGGTAGATTGGGGTTTGGCTGATCTTTTTCTGGGCTCAGTTTGGCTTGGCTCCAGAATGTAGATCATGCTCAGGTCTGGTCTTCATGAGTCATCCTGAGGCTTGGCAGAACTGGAGAGTAGCTCTCAGCGTAAGTTCTTATCATGTCAATGGCAAAATCACAAGGAGGCAAGCCCTATGGGACAAAGCCATTTCAGGTCTCACGATTCTGCTTGGTCACCTCTACTAGCATCCCACTGGCCAAAGAAAGACATGTGTCCAGGCCCAAAACCAATGGGAGAGCACTCCACTCACCATGGCTAAGACACACCTATGACAAAGGAATGAATAATTAAGATCAACAATGCAATCTACCACACCACTTAGTCTGAATTTGTAAACACATCCCCAAGTGATGTTCTGTCTTCATACTCAGATGTTTTAATAACAAGTTCATTTTTCCAACATTTTATTAGGAACACTTTTCAACTTACAAAAACATTGAAAGAATCATACAGTGAACACACATATACCAATCACCTATATATGTATATACACCAATCTATAGTTAACATTGTGCTGTATTCACCTTATTACATATCTATCCATATATATCTTTTTATCCATCCATCCATCCATCCATCTCATTATAAGCAGGTGTAGCTTACATTCATAGCCAACGAAAGCTGAAGGCAACTCTTTTCAGTGAATATACACCCCTGAGTAAGCATAATGCAGCACACGTGTATGTGCTCGCCATGCAGTTCATCTTAGTTCCAGAGGCATCTCACAGTGTGAGCTTCCAGTTTTTCGAAATTTTTGTATTCAATATGGCTACTAAATACAAGCCAATTCATGTGTCTGTAACTGAACAAAGGAAACAGTGGTGTATATCCAGCACTTGGGAAACACTGACTCCTTCAGGATTGTTGAGCTACCTCTAAAATGGTGCTTTACTAAGGGAATGGTGCTCAAAGGAAATCTGGACTGCATGTTGGCTCTAGAATTGAGCCCCTAGGCAGGATACTGTAGACTACCGAATTATGTTGACATACTTCTGCCTAGGTTTAGCTCAATTACATTGCATCTATAGAACAGGAGACTATGCAACCATTACATGTAATGTTGTAAAAGACTGAAACCCAAATGAAGCTGGACCCCACATAGCCCAGGATCAAGGGATGCAGAGGCCAAATAAACAGAGTCCAGCAAACAGTAGAAATACAAAATCACTCAAGTTCGTTACTTGTATTTCTCAAATACCATAAAGAGGTCACATAGGCCAGAGATCCCTTTGTTGAGATACACTGCTGAGAGTTTGAGATTGCTGTTACTGCAGCAAAACAAGTCCTGACTGATACACTTTCTTTCCTGGTACTACTCTTTCTCCTCTTCCTCCACCTCCTTCTTCTTCTCTCCTCCTTTCCCTCCCTCTTTTCCTCACTCTATATCCAGGCATCCAAAGAACCAAACTAGGAAAGGAAATACAGCTCCTCAGAAGGCGAGGGAGAGGAAGACCCCGACCTGACAGAATAGACGCTTCCTAGAGAGCAAAGGATGAGCAAAGGTTTGAAACATCCAAATGCTCTATTTTGGAGTATGGTGTATATTTTGGATTAAATGTAAATTTTAGATTAAGGCTCAAGAATAGTTTATGACTGGAAGGATATTAAAAAGAGTGAAAAAGCAAGTTTCAAAACATTACTCTAAAAAGGCTCCATTTTGTTGCATAATATATATAAACATGTATGGTTTATGTTATAATGTTGTGTATGTATTGGTGTGCAGGTGTGAGTGCCATGGCAAAGCACGGTGGCTCTCAGGCAATTTCGGCCCCCACCCCAGGGGACAGATTTAGCAAGAGCTGGTGGGGAGAGGCCAGGGGTGCTGCTGAAGATCCTACTGTGGGGCTCTCTTGTCCCCTCCTGGCCTGAGCCAGGAGCTCTGTCCTCTCACTTTCTCTCTAAAGTAAAGCTTCTCCCTGGCTCTCCTACCTTGGGTGTTTGCTAAGTTCTTTCTTCAACTCCTCAACAAGAATGCCAGCATCATTTGTGGGGGCTTGTCCGGGATAACTTCAGAGGACCTCCGAAGGCAAATCCAAGCTGTGTCAGGCCCAGAAGTCCCATGGACTACTACAATATGGAACTGGTCTTCTAAATCCTTTTGAAGTCATGAAACTGAAAATGGTGATGGAAATGGAACCCCTATATTAGTGGCCATCTTCTGAGGCCCTCTCGACTGACCAGTGATGGAGACCTAGCTGCACCCTTTACTGCACTCCTCTCAGCATGAAGCAGCCAGAGTGGTCGTCACCCCCTTTCCCTAGCAGCAGGGAAATGAGACAGGGACCATGGGCTTAGACAGAATAGGGTGAGGGCCTCCGGAAAAAACAAAGCAAGATTATCAATCCATTGTGAGATTTGCTTTGACCTGCTGGGGGACCCAGCTTATTTTTCTGACTTTACCCAGGTGGTGCTTTTCTTCCCCCAGCCCTAAAAAAAATGATTTACAACTTGGGCAATGTAGCAAGAAAGCCCAAAACAACATAATAAAAACAGGAAGGATTCTATCTTGAAAATAAGATTGCATGTTAATAGCCAATTAATTAAAAAGTAAGTTTCTTAACAAACACAGTAACAGCCCACCTTGGGAGCAAAGCAGGCAGTCTTGAGTGATATGTTCCCAGACCAGGAAGCTGCTATCCTGGGAGGGAATCAGAGCAATAAAATTCTTTGTAAATAACCAGGAAGACTAATAAGAAACTTAATGTCTCTTCAAAGATAAACATTTTGGGACCACTTAGCAGGTGTACATCCCTAGCCCTTTGTCTCTCAACTGCCTACAAAACCCCTAGACAATGCACCACCCCAAGGCTCTCTTGTCCCCTCCTGGCCTGAGCCGGGAGCTCTGTCCTCTCGCTTTCTCTCTAAATAAAAG